ACAGCAGGTGCCTACTAGACCGTTAACCATCTAGTAGGTTCTCACAACTAAAGGGAGATGGTCATAAACCCCATTATTTTATAGTTTTTAATGAGACGGGAGACCAGCGTAAGATGGGCAATCTTCTTTCATATACTGAAGTCAAGAAACCAGAAATTATCCTCTTGTGAGTAATATAAACTCCTCTTAAAATTCTGAGCTTCTCTAAATCTTATTTCAGGTGAAATTCAGTCCAAAAATCTGTACAAGATTCCACTCAGAAACCTCGTGGGCAGAAGCATCGAGCGGCCTCTGAAGTCACCCTTAGTCTCCAAGGTCATCACCCCGCCCACATCCATCGGCCTTGGCATCGCGGCCATTCCTGTCACTCACTCCTTGTCCCTGTCCCGCATGGAGATTAAAGAAATAGCAAGCAGGACCCGCCGGGAGCTGCTGGGTAATGACTCTTGGCTTTTGAATTTTCCCTGTGAGTGTACCAACTGCTTTGTCTTTGGATGTTGATCATCCTCAGTGAGTTGACAGTGAAAGAGAGAGAGAGAAAGAGAGAGAGAGAGAGAGAAATGTCCCCTTTAATGAGGGGTTCATAAAGAAAGTATCATGCGTCCACACAGAGGATTCCCGCACAGGTCACCCAACACTGATACTTCTTCTCTGTGAGCCAGGTGGGCAGTCTCTAAACCACATCAGTCAGGAAAGGTAGTTTGCAAAACAGAACATAGTTTCAGACAGGTCTTTAAAATATAGGTGTCTCTGTACAGATGTTTTTCTAGAAGAGTCTAGAAGGATCTATATCCTGTAGCTCTCAAATAAATTTTATACTTGAATATCCAAAAGTTTACATCACTGTGTTCTTACTACTGGTATTCTCGAAGCCCCTCATCCTCAGGGGCAGCACAGTGGGGGTGGCTCAGATGCAAGGTGTGTTCCGTCCTAGTCTCTCAACATGCAGGTGGGAGACCGGGACAGAGAAAAGTAAAGTGCCATGATAGCTGTGAAAAGATGAGGCTACTTGAGAACTTTTTGTTCAGAAAGTGAAAATAAAATGAAGAGAAATGGCAGTGATGTGTTAAACCAGTCAGATGGTTTGAGACCCTGAAGTGGGAGCTTTGTGGCAGAAAACCTCAAGGATGGTTGACCTTGACACACCTCTGCGCTGAGTTCTGTGTCTGGGGACTCTGGGAGAAGGCCTGGGCCACCGGGCAGGCAGGCCTCAATGTTGGCCGAGTCGGTGGGTCTAAAAGTTGGTGCCTTCTGCTATGCTTTTAAAATAAGCATATCAGCATTTTTAACCCACCATTCCCCAGGAAAGCTTTGCCTGCCAACCATTATCTTACAGCCACTGTGCTTTTCAGAAACGGCCCCTCTGAGTTGGAGAATGAAGTTCCTGCACTAGGATCTAGGATCTGGGAGGTTTCCCTCCTTCATTGGCTCTTCTGAGCCTATTGTTTTGTTTTTGTCTGTGATCCAAGCATAGTTTACAGCCAAAACAAACACCTTCCACCAACAAGAAAGCTGATTATTTAAATATATATATTTTTTATCATCTTCATCCCTGACTCGAGCCCACTAATTCACCACTCCCCAAGCAAGGAAAAAGCATCTTCTGCCCCATGGCAACCCTGGGGTCATGACTCTCTGACCTAGGATTCTCCCCTTCAAACCAGGCCTCTCGGATGAAGGTGGACCCAGGTCGGAAGGAGCACCTAAGGTCAAGCCCAAAGTCCGGAAGCGGCTAGGGGAAAGCCAAGGAGGCCCCACACCAGGGGCAGTGAGGTCAACTAGCAGTGACAGGTAATGGGGAGCAGCCCCAGCAGCCCCTACTCAGGGCAGAGACCCTGCTGATGCCTGATGATGCCATGGCCAGCCCCTCTGGCCAGCCACAGCAGAGGGTCAGCATCCAGCTCCTCCCCGGAGCTCTGTTAGGGGTCACGGGGTGACTCGGGCATGTCCTTGGTGGAAGCTGGGTGAACCCAGATGAGCAGGCAACAGCCAGACAGCACAGGCTCAGTTCATTGGGCGCCCGGGGTCCTTTGACAGTGACTCTTCTCTTCCAGGATCACCTCGGGCTCCTTGGAAAGCCCTTCTAGTTCTGAAGCCAACCCAGAGGCGCGTTACCATTCCGCTAGCTCCGACCAGGACCCCGGGGCAGACAGAGAAGGCAGCCCTGTGTGGGGCGGCAGCTCCTTTCCACTCCCGGCCTCCTCGGATGAAGACATTATTGACTTGAAGTAAACGGCCGGTTTACTTGCCATCTTTAATTTCCTTATGGGGGTTTATACTCTTTAACCTCTTCTGACGTCACTTCTCAACAAAATGTGGCTTTTGGCCTGTGTGTGATCTTATTGGACCAAACCCTCTGCACTCTCAGCCAGTTTGGGTCACTCTCCAATGTCCGGTGCCATCTCTCTTGACCTTTGTTTCCTTCTGTTCGGGAACCATCAGTCCCCTTGTAATAAAGGTGGTAGGTTTCATTGAGGTTTTAGAGCGAAACTTTGAATAAATCAAGTGTTCATTCTTATTGATGCAATCCTCTCTTGTGTACACTCAGAAAAATTATTTCTGCGTGATAGCTTTGGTTTATATCACAGAATGTGTTTCTTTCATAAAAGAAAGCCATTGCTTTTCTTTTTTTTTTTTTTTTTAAAGATTTATTTATTTATTTATTTATACATGCACTGGGTACAGTCAGAGGCGCGGGAGGGTGAGAGAATTCACCAGAGCCAGAGCAGGGAGCAGAGCAGGCAGAAGGACCGAAGTACACCACTGAGGGGAGCAGCGGGCGGCAGGAGAGGTCTGCGCGCCATGTGGGACCCTCCTCTGGTGGCCGGGGAGCAGCCGGGGATCGAACTGGCGCTGCAGAGGCTGCGGGCAGCTTCGCAACCCAGCGCTCAACCGCTGCGCCACCGGGGAGGCCCAGAAAGCCATTGCTTTTCAATTTTACTACAAGTAAGCATGCTTTCTGTACCTTTGGCCCCTGTTGCTGTCTCAGCTCATTGTAATTGGAACCAGCTGCCTTCCTGTTGATCGACTTTTGAAAAAAACGGAATGATTAGATCTTAGAAGCTCCTGCTGCTTCTTCCTTGAAACTCATGAAAAATAATAAGGCATGGGAGCTCTGCTTATAAAGGGGGCCTGGAGGCAGCAATATCTGCCAAGGCGTGAAGTCTGCACACTCCTGGGAGGGAGCCCCCTGCCAGAGGGCAGCAGCAGGTTTGTAGGGGTCCATGACCCGAGGGCTCACAGGCTCATCCTGTGCATACAGGCCTCACTGCATGCCCCTCTGGCTGAGTTACAGGGCTAAGTAACTGCGGTAACTTGTCCATAGAGTCAAGCACTCCATAGTAGGTATCACTAGCCACCAACTCTCTGGAGAAGGAGGTCATGTGGGAGAAAAGCAAACAGGAAGGGATGGGTCACTTATCACCACCGTGATAAATGCAGATGCTGAAGCACAGAAGGGCAGTTACTGGAGATAGTACAGTCAGGTGACTGCTCCCGCTCACATACTACACCGCTAGCTCTGGGTGCCTCAGGTGCTTGGACTCATATACATGCTGCTCCCTAAATCCCTCCAGGAAGATAGATGTGGTCATCCCCACTCAGAAAGAGGAGGAACAGGCCCAGAGAGGAATTAGAAGCCAAACTTAATCTCATAGCCCTGATCTTTCCAGAATCACACAGCACTCCACTGAAACTATGACTCCCACAGTGTGTCAGGAATGTTAAAAAAACAAAATTCACAATTTCAGAGATCTCGTTGGCTTTATTAAGTGACCCATGAGTGGGCAGCAGCCTGTCTAGGGTAAGCAAGGGCTTACACAAAGCGGAGGGTATTTATAGGCAAAAAGGTAGGACAAGATTACTAGCAAAAGCAAAGATGATTTCAGCAAAAGCACCTTCCCTCCAGGGCAGGCAGGGGGCACCTGAGCATGCAGATTTCTCACGGAGGCTGAACTGGAAACTCCAGAGAGGGAAAGGTTGAGTCTGCAATAGGCACTGCAGTGGGGCTGGGGGCCGGCGCGAAGGACTCCCTTGGGGCGATGTTCCTCGGAGCCTTGACCTCGTCGTCCCGACCTGGGCGCACACGTACACAGGTTGGCTATTAAAATGCTCAGGGGACGCCAAGTGGGGAGGCAGTAAAATGAAGATTCGAGTCAGGATCACCTGTGAAGCGGGTGGGATTTAAAAGGGAGCAAAGACCTCGCCAGGTAAGCCCAGCTCAGCTCATCCACCTTAGTCACCTAACAGGTCATCAGCCTCGGGACTCCCTGGCAGTGTGGACTCCAGCGCGGCCATCCGAGGGCCTCAGGGTCGTGGCGGGCACGGAGGTGGCTGCCCAGGCCACCCGGCGAGAGGCCGGGCCAGGCTCGGCGCCCCAGAGGAGAGGGCGCGGCCGAGGACAGCCGAGACCTTCCGCCCTGCGGCTTCCAGCGGGCAGAGCTGGGCAGGCCGAGGGGTCAGGCACCCCCAGGGCAGGCCCCCGGGCAGCGGGCAGCGCCGAGCCGGAACTCCAGCACCAGCCGGGCTGGACAGTGGCGCTGCCGCGCGGGCCTGGACGCCCAGGGCGCCGCCCACGTGCTCCGCCGTCTCCGGGGCCAGCGCCGCGGGGAGCTCGCGCGAGAGGCGGCTCCGGGCGCAAAGACAGTCCCGGCCCTCCGCGCTCATTGGCCGGCTCAGCCTGACGCTGCTTTCTCACCCCGCCTCCAGGCCCGCACCACGCGCCTATTGGCTGATGGAGCTCTCGGGCCAGAATCCAAGTCCGCCCCCCCCGCGCATTGGCTGGCTGCGTCCCCGGGGCGGCTCCAGGGCCCGCCTCTGACTGGCTCTTCGCGCGGTCGCCGACCCCGGCGCGCGTTCCTATTGGCTGCTCTCACGCGGCGCCGCCCGCCCCCGCCCCGCCCGCGGGCGCCCATTGGCCGGCCCCGCGGGGGCGCGGCTGTCCGCACTCGCGGCTCCGGCGGTTCGGGCGTCCGGGCGGGCCGCGGGCGTTGGCGGCGGACATGGCGCCGGACGACGCGGAGACCCGGCCGCTCCTGGGGCGGCCCCGCGGCGGGTGAGCGGGCGGGGACCAGCGGGGGCGCGGCCCGGCCCGGCCTCCCCCGGCCGGCGCCGCTCACCGCCGCCCCGCCCGCAGCGCGCCCCGCGGCCGCCGCGTCTTCCTCGCCGCCTTCGCCGCCGCCCTGGGCCCGCTCAGCTTCGGCTTCGCGCTCGGCTACAGCTCCCCGGCCATCCCGAGCCTGCGGCGCGCCGCGCCCCCCGCGCCGCGCCTCGACGCCGCCGCCGCCTCCTGGTTCGGGGTGAGGCCGCGGGCGCCCCACGCCGGGCCGGGGCCCCGGGTGGGCTCTGGGGGCCCCCGCCGCGTCCCGGGGGCCCCTCGGCCGGGGGCGGGCGCGGAGCCAGCCCGGGGCGCCCTCCCGGGGCCCAGCCCCGTCCCTCGGAGGGGGGGGGGGGGGCCGGGCCGCCTCAGCCGCGCCGCCGCCCGCAGGCCGTCGTGACCCTGGGCGCCGCGGCGGGCGGCCTGCTGGGCGGCTGGCTCGTGGACCGCGCGGGGCGCCAGCTGAGCCTCCTGCTCTGCGCCGCGCCCTTCGTGACCGGCTTCGCCGTCATCACCGCCGCCCGGGACGTGTGGGTGCTGCTCGCGGGTCGCCTCCTCACCGGCCTGGCCTGCGGCGTCGCCTCCCTCGCCGCCCCGGTGAGTGGCCTCGCGGCCGAGGAGCCCGGGGCAAAGCGCTGCCCACCCCGGGGCGGGGGTCTGGGCTCTTCCCGCGCAGCCTCCTGGCCGCCCGGTGCCGGTGCCGTGGCCCTTAGCGTTATCCCTCTCCCCGCGGGCCTCGGGAGGGGCGGCTGTCGTCTCGTTTCGCAGGTGAAGCGAGCGTCGGGCACACCCGGTCGGTGGGGAAGCTGTCACTGGAGCCCGGGATTTCGCCTCTTCACGGGGGCGTCTCTCGCTCTGCAAGAGCAGCGTTGCCACGGCCAGGGTTGCAGCTGCATGCACCTGGGTGAAGTTCCATCTCTGCCTCTCACCTGGGCAGAGCACCCTCTGTACCTCAGTTTCCCTGCCCCCACCCCTGAATGGCCTGCGAGGATACAGGGAGGGCTCTGCTACCCCAGCGGTGCCGTTCAGGGTGAATCAGGCCTGCAGCAGCCGGAGTTGGGCTCTCCTCAGCTCTGATTGGCTGAGACTTCAGTCTGAGGAGCTCTGGGGCCTCAAGTCTCCTCTTACTTGCTGACAGGTGTATATCTCGGAAATCGCCTACCCTGCCATCCGGGGGCTGCTGGGCTCCTGTGTGCAGCTGATGGTCGTCATAGGCATCCTCCTAGCCTACCTGGCCGGTACAGTTCTCACCTTATCTCTTTTGACTCCTGTTAATGTCAGGTGGCTGTTTTAGAGAAACAGTCGTTGGTGTTCAGAGAAGTCAAGGAATTTGTCCAAGGCCACGCAGCCAGTGCTCATGGTGCCAGGCTCCCAGAATGCCTCCCTGAGGCCTTAGGATGTGTGGGTTTGTAACTCAGTTCCAGGGAGAGCTGGAGAAGGTAAAAGTGTGTCTTCCCAGGGCAGCCTGTCCCCCATGTGAGGAGGGCTGGTTAAGTCAGCTGACTGCTTAGGTCAGTTCCTTCCTATACAGTGGCCAGTTAGAGTGCCCCGGGGCTCCAAAGCCTGCCAGAAATGTGGCAGGCCACGCACGCTTCCCTGGGAAATGTCAGTACTGGATCTGCACTGTCAGCAAGTTGCAGTGTGAAAGAAGCTGATTCCAGGGACCTTGAGGGGAGCAGGGCTGGGCCAGCATGGGGAAGCTTCTGGAAGCAGATGTGCTGTCAGCAGAACTGAAGTAGAAGGAGCAGACTTCAGCCTCTGCCACCTACACTGTGTGACCTTGACACCTCCCCACCCCCAGAGCCCACGCTCCCTGTCTTTAAGGGGAGGACCCCTCTCATCCATCACTGTTAGGGACTCCACTAAGGGTTACATGAGAGGTGCCTGGCAGCAGGCCCCAGACGACATTTGTCCAGGCTGGCTGTCCCCCTGGCTCTGATGCCTGACATCCCCGCCCAGGTGGGGTCCTGGAGTGGCGCTGGCTGGCGGTGCTGGGCTGCGTGCCCCCCTCCCTCATGCTGCTGCTCATGTGCTACATGCCCGAGACCCCGCGCTTCCTGCTGACTCAGCACAAGCACCAGGAAGCTGTGGCCGCCCTGCAGTTCCTGTGGGGTTCCGAACAGGACTTGGAAGAGCCCCCGGCGGGGACTGAGCACCAGGTGAGGGGCAGAGCAGTGAAACAGCGCCCCCTGCAGCTGGGGGAGGCTAGCACAAACTTCCCAAAGCACCCTACACCAGAGGGGGCAGGGCCCGTGTCCTCCTGCGTGTGAAGAGGGCAAATGTCTGCTCCAGCCCCACTTGTTGGCTGTGTCCCAGCCTTGGGGCTCACAGGGATGCCTGGAGCCTTGATTCTTATGGTCCCAGAAAGAGAAGGGTCATCGGGGCAGAGGGCAGTGCAGGCGCAGATTCGAGGACTTGGCTCTCTGGCCTAGGAAGTGCAGGGCAGAGAGAGGGGGAGACGTCTCAGGCCTTGGTCTCCCCACCTGTACAGTGGGGGGCATAGGGCAGGCCGGTGGTGGCAGTAAGGACTCCGTGGGCCGGCGGAGGCTGAGTGGGTTTCTGGAACCCTTGTTCTTGGCTCATGCAATCTTTGTGACTCTCCCAACAAAGCAGGGAGAGGTACGGGGGGTGAAGGACTTTTTGCCTTACAAATGGGGACCTCCCTTTGTCCCAAGGCCCCAGGTCAGTAGGCACACTGCTGGGGTCCCCCCTTGGGATGGAGAGCAGCTCTGATGCGAGGTGTCTGTGAGCAGGGCTTCCACCTGGCCCAGCTGAGGCAGCCCAGCATCTACAAGCCCTTCATCATTGGCATTTCACTGATGGCCTTCCAGCAGCTGTCGGGGATCAACGCTGTCATGTTCTATGCAGAAACCATCTTTGAGGAAGCCAAGTTCAAGGTAAAGAGGCCTGGGCCCCCACCTGGCCTACCTCATCGAATGCCAAGTGGATGGGGCCTGGTCCCAGGGCCTTTGACTTACAGGCCTTGGCCTGTCTCCCCAGGACAGCAGCCTGGCCTCAGTCATCGTGGGCATCATCCAGGTGCTGTTCACGGCCTTGGCGGCCCTCATCATGGACAAAGCTGGGCGCAGGCTGCTCCTGGCCCTGTCAGGTAAGGCCCAGGGAGAGGCCTCAGCCATATGCAAGTGGGTTGCCCCAGGCCAGCTTCCCCCAGGAGGTGGTGGGAGGAACATGGCCCAACGTCCCTGAAAACAAAACTAGAACCTACTCTAAGGCGCCACTGTGGTCCCAGTTTACATGAGGAAACTGAGAACCTAGGCAGGGAAGTGACTCCAAAGCTTGTGGGCTTTGGGGGTACGTGACTACCAACCTGGGCTCAATTTCCCCTCCGTGAAATGTGGGTAATGGTGGAAGAGTGGGAGGTGACCCGAGCGAGGCCCACAAGCTTCAGGACTGCCAGGGATGTGGGGCTTACGATGGTGCCTCAGCTGCTGTTCCCATCCTGCTCCCTCACCCGCTCTGCTTCCGGGAGCTTCTCTTTCGCCGAGGTCTGCGGTCCAAGCTACAGGGCAGGGTGGGTGCTGCCCACTCAGGGCTCTGGGGCACCCTCACTGCCCCGTACCCGTCGCCGCACCTGCCCACCACCCTGCTCACCCGCAGGTATGGTCATGGTGTTCAGCACCAGCGCCTTTGGCACCTACTTCAAGCTGACCCAGGGTGGGCCCAGCAACTCCTCACACGTGGCCCTCTTGGCGCCTACCTCGGTGGAGTCTGCTGATGCCAGTGTGGGGCTGGCCTGGTTGGCGGTGGGCAGCATGTGCCTCTTCATTGCCGGTGAGAAGGGGCCTGTGGGGAGGTTGGTGGGGGCCGCCTGATGGGCCTGGTTGCTGCCAGGTACCTTACCTCCCAGTGAGTCCTGTCCTGCCTGCCCTTACTCTGTCACATGGGCCCCCACGTCTGCCCGCACACCAGGCGCCCAACCAAGCCCTTCTATGCACCTTACACCTAACCCCACAGCAGCGCTCCCAGCAGCCCCATCCTCGTCCCATTTTACAGGGAGAAAGCCCGATGCCTACAAAGTAAAGGGGCTGGCCAGAGACTACACAGAAAGGAGGTGCGGGGCTGGGGGCCCAGGCTGGCATCCAGGTGCCCTCAGTTCACGGCCAGGCCGCCCTGCACGTCTCAGCCCAGGGAGTCTCTGGGGTCTGGATCTGGGGCGCTGAAACCTGTCTGGTTGCGCAGGCTTTGCTGTGGGCTGGGGGCCCATCCCCTGGCTCCTCATGTCGGAGATCTTCCCTCTGCACGTCAAGGGCGTGGCCACCGGCGTCTGCGTCCTCACCAACTGGCTCATGGCCTTTCTGGTAACAAAGGAATTCAGCAGCCTCATGGTGAGTGCAGGCCCGATGCCTCCCCCGCCCCCGCGTATTCAGAGAAGCACTTTCAGGATGACTCCCGCAAAAGGCCTCGCACACAGGCTGAGGCCCCTCCACTCTAGGCGTCTTAGTGAGGGGTGGAGGGGAGACATGGGGAGCCTGGGCTGTGTGGGCAGAAGGATGCGCGGCTGGGAAGCAGGACTGTGAGGGAAGAGCCCTGGGCTGGGGTCAGGCCTGGGCTCCAGCTCCCCCTTGGCCACGTCCCTGCCCCGTGACCGGGGTGACTGCTGACCGAAGTTGGTGGGGGAGACAGTACCTCCCTCTTACAATTGGGGGGACATTACTTCAGGTCATCATCTTGCCACCTTCTCATGGGCGGACTGACACAGCTGGGCCTGCCCCAGGGTTCCCAGCGAGTGAGGGGGCAGGTCTGGAGCAGAGTCTGTTCAGTCTTTCCTTCCCCCCGACGTCTGGGCATGCACTGTACCCAGGCCTGCTCAAGGTGCCAAGGACAGCAGTGAAGGGGACAGACAGGGTCCTCTTTATGACATGGGCTGGGAAGGGCCTGGAGAGCAGTGGGGGAATGAACCCCATATGCTGGAGGGGGGGGGGTCGTCCTGAGAGGCGTGGACACCCAGGTCTGTGCAGGGTTGGGCCCACACAGGCAGGACTACCCCGAGTCTGTTGTGGGGAGACCAGCACAGAGGTCTGGTGGCGATGATCTGCTGGGCACTTGGAGGGGCTGACAGCAGAGGAGGAAGGAAAAGAAACCCAGGAGGAGGCAAAGGACCTAACAGTGACCCTGGGGTGGTCACCAGGTCCCAGAGGAAAAGGGAGCGGGTGGGACAGGCTCTGACTGAAGGAACAGCTTGCTCGCTGCTCCTCTGGGACAGAGACGGGGCCCAGCGGAGTGCAGAGCGTGGGATCTGAGCCCTGGAGTCGGACCCAGGGGGCAGCTGCCCTGAGATAGTGGGTCCCTGGCTTCAGAGCAGTCACTTCATCTCAGCGAGCCTCCGTTTCTCCAGCCCCATAACTTCCACACCTCAGCCTGGCCTCAGGAGGGCCTGGTCATACCCTCTGCGCTCAGGAACCGAGGCCGGGGAGACAGAATGAGCATAGCCGCAAGCAGGCTGGGGCCTGGGCCAGTGATTTCCTGACGCCCCTGACCTTCTGCCTCCACACCCGGCCTCTCTTTGCAGGAGGTGCTGAGGCCCTACGGCGCCTTCTGGCTCGCCTCTGCCTTCTGCATCCTCAGTGTCCTTTTCACTTTGGTCTGCGTCCCTGAAACCAAAGGGAAGACTTTGGAGCAAATCACAGCCCACTTTGAAGGGCGATGACAGCCCCTACTTGGCAACGGCTGTCCTCGCTGGGCCGGCCTCGGGCTACGGAGGGGACGGAACCTGCCTGTTACTTCAAAACAGGTCTCGGCCAGAGCCCGGCACCCCAGCCTGCTCCCGGCCTCCCGGGAGCCAGGATCCAGGCCAGAGCCCCTCAGAACATCCCTTCCAGGGTCCCTCCTTCCTGCCCAGAGCTTTAGCCCAGCAACCCCGGCACCAGGTGTGCCAGCTGCCGGCCCAGTTCCACCGCCGCTCGGGCTTGGGAAGCCGGGACATCTCAGACCTGCCCAGCGGCCGTGGTCAGTCCTCTCCGGCCATCTCCATTGTGACACTGAAGGGACAGAGGGGGGCGCCTCGTTTTCTGGCTGAGATGCTTTCGGAGACTGGTGACAGCCCACAGTTTTTCCTCAGGAAGGAACTTTGTTTGCCAAATAAAGATTTGACTTGGAAAATCAGGTCATGGCCTTTTTGTGAGAGCCGAAGTTTGCGAAGGGCCTATTTCCAACCTTTCCGTGAGCCGCCTCCTGTGGACTGGGCCTTGCCAAGAATATCTGGTGGACTTTGTATGGTCAGCCAGGCTCAGCCTTGGCACTTGGAGGTGCTTTCTAACTCTTTCCATGGGCTCAGTTCTCTGGGCCATTAGTCACCAAATCTTGTTTTAAAAAATAAAAGGCTGCTTTAATATTTTTATAGCAATTAGCCACCACCATAAGCACAAATATTAACCCTTTATTTGGATAATTAATAAAAGAATCTCACAGCTGCCCACTTCCAGAAGCAGCCTCTGAGGTCAGTTGGGGGTGCGCACAGCTTTGTCTCCCTGTGCCCTCCCGCCTCCTGCAGGCGCAGCAGCCCTGCTGTGTTGGGAGCCTCGTTCGCCACTGGGAGGGTGGCCTGTGCCTGTCAGGGCAAGCTGCTCACCACAGTGGCTCAGGTCTTCTACACCCTCACTGGTTTTCGGTGGGGACACCAGTGAGCTCGGGTCAAATTCTGAGGGGACTGCTGGTTGTCTGTGTGGCCTAGACAAGTCACTCAATGTCTCAAAACCTCTGTCTCTTTATCTGTAAAATGGCCATAAAGATGCCATCCCCTTAAGGGATTGTCGTGAGAATGAGATAATTATACAGAACTAAAGATGGGACCGAGTACGGGCTCAGTGGATGCTGCCTGTTGGTGAGTGCGAGGCTGCTGGAGGGAAGTGGGTAGGAGCTGCAGGCAAGGCTGGTGTGAGGCCCAAGGGCTGCCTCATCAAGGGACATTTGATGTCTTTATGCATTTTTCTTATATTCTAAACCCTGTTCCCTTAGTAACTCCTACCCACACCACCTTCTGATTGCTAACAGCACCCACCTGTGTACCAATGACTGAATCCACATGCGCTTCAGAAATCTCAGACTCGCTTGGGACCATCCCCTCAGGGACCAAGAGCCCTCCCTGCTGACAGTGCTGTATCTGCCCCTGGAGCCCAGCCCAGCACCACTGGGCACAGACCATGAAGCCCTATGAGACGGAACATCCCTAGAGGGTAGGTGCAGAGAATATGGGCTTCACCCAGCACAGGGTAGAAATCTGCAATTCCCACTATATCTGCCCTCCCTGCATCTGAACAACTTCCAGGACAATGCTGGCTTCTACATGACTGAGGCGAGGAGTGCCCCAATGCCACCCAGCAACCACTGACGGAACTGCATCAACTGATGTGTGCGGCATTACCTCCCAGTGGTCTAAGGAAGAATAGCAAGACTAAAGGAAGAAACCTGCTGTTGTTGCCTGGTTGCCATTGTGGCAACAAGAAAGCCTCTGTTGCTGGGCAGACCTGCACCAGCAGAAAGGGACCATGAACCAAGGCATATAGGCAGCCTCTGGAAATTGGAAAAGGCCAGGAACAGATTCTCCCCTAGAGCCAACAGAAAGAATGTAACTGCAGAAACCTTGATTTTAGCTTAATGGGATCAATCGTAGACTTCTAACCCCCAAATTGTAAGCCCCAATTTGCAGAAGCTTATCTCAAAGAGATCTATGGATATAGCCTGCCTAATAAGGGGAATCTCAATAAGATTCACAGAAGACCCACAAAGTTAAGAACTGTATTGGTACAAATACTACTGTCTGTGACTGACTATGGTCTGAGACAGAATAAACTGTGCTTCCCAAGTAATGTATTCCTATCTTCTAAAGTAGCAATGCCTCTGTAAATGAATTGGTCATCAGAAAATTGCTTGAGTAGTGAAAGTTCTTCAGTAGGCACGAGGGAAAATTTCACTATTGCTCTGGGGAAGTTCAGCAAAATATTCCCTGTGTAGCACAGAGACCCCCAAGGAACAGATTATTCCTTCTCCAATACAGTGGTGTGTAATCAAACGCTATTACACACCACAAAAGCATGCTTCTGCTTTTAAAATTAAGAAGTTTTCTTCTGCTAACAGATTTTTATACTTTGAAAATTGCAGGCCTTGTCCTTTTTCACACCAAGGGGGCTTTATTTCCTTTACTCTCAGTAGGGCTCAAAACGACCATGAGGATAGCTGAGGTTGGACCTTAAGGCAGAGGAAGGAGAGGACGCTCAAGACCCCAAGCCCTGGGCATCTCAAACCACTGAGGAGAAACCAGGTGCCCACAGCCAGTATTCTGCTAAAACCACCACTCCCAGGATCCCCCTCAGCCAAGTGGCTCTCTGCCTTAAGTGGCCCCAGTCATTGGATTCCAGTGGACCAGAAGGAAATGTGCAACAAAGCATGAAAGGAAGTAGATCCTGTGATCAAGAACAGGAGACACAACAGTAATAAACAAAAATTCAATAAATGGGCAGACCTCAGCAGACACACACCAGAAGTCCAACAGACACATGGAAAAATTTTCTCTATCCCTTTTAAATAGGGAGATGCAGATCAAAATCGCGATGAGATAGCAGCTCACACCGCCAGAGCGGCACAGATGAAAAAGACGCCCAACGAGCGCTGGAGAGGAGGTGTAGGAAGAGGAAACTTGATGCATTGTTGGTGGGAAAGAAAGTGAACCGGCGCAGGCATTTTGGAAAGTCATTTGGGTTTACCTTAAAACACGGAAAACAGCATTAGTGTATGATCCAACAAGCCTACCTCTGGGATTCAGCCAAAGAACATAAAACCATCAATTCAAAAATGACTTGGTCACCAGGTGCGACGCCGCGTCATTTACACTAGCGAGGACGTGAGAAACGACAGAGACGTTTCCCTCAGAGGAGCTGATAAAGCAAACTACTTGTAAAAACCAGCGGACAGTAACAAAGGCAGCGAGGTTTCTGAGGGTAAGAGGGAGGAGGAAGAGTCAGAGTCAAACGGCGGCGGAGAGGCAGAATAAAATGAAAATATTTTGATTGAAACAGGGGCCGCCTCTCCGGGAGGGTGCGGGGCGCGAGCCCGGCGTCAGGCCGGAAAAGGGTGTTGGCCAGAAACGGAAACCGGAGGTTTCTGGGAAATGGAGTCCGGCGGGCGGGGCATTGCGCCTGGCCGGAAGTGACGCCATCCAGGCGCGTCCCCTTGGGCGCCAGAGCGGGACTTCCGTTTTGCCTGACCCGCGGCTGCGGTTTCTGGGTTCCGCGGGTCGCTGGTAACTTTCGCTGGTGACGGGCAGCGGCCTTTGCCCTCGGTTTTATGCCTGAGCCGAGCTGGGGCCCCCTCGGAGAGAGGAAGAAGGAGGGGTGCAGCCGGGAGCAGCCAGAACGGGGCTGGGCCCGTGGAGGCGACGCTGACCCCCGGAGAACTGCTGGGAGGCGGGGCGCGAGGTGAACCCCATGCTGGAGGCCGGAGGTGAGGAGCGGTGGAGGGAGCGCGTCCCGACTCCAGCTTGCCCCCGAGCCCTGCTGTGCGGCCGAGCCGGCAGTTACCCTTCACCAGTGATGGGGGACCCCCTTTTAAATGAAGAATTCCGAGGTCAAAAAAATTTGAGGCGATCAGGCCTGGACAGTCTATCTTTTAGTGGACATTAGAGAGTGGGGGGAAAGGGGAAGGGCCGTGGGGAGGAAAATGGATCGATCCGGGGTCTCCTTTATTGGCGTTAATCTTCCAGTCCTTGAGGCGGCCAGGGATGCTCGGAATCGCGGAACAGGATCCTGTTGGCTCCACCTGAAATTGAGGGCGGGTTCAACTCTCTGGGGCTGCAAAAACACTGGGGATCTGTAATCAAACGCCCGTTTTGGGGTCCCAGCCAGGCTTCTTAACCTGTGTTTTTTCATGGAAAAAAAAGGTGAAATAACGTAAACTAAAACTGTAAGCATCGAATAAAATGACGATTTTGACAGCACCTTGAATGCCTTGCAGAACAGAACAAATGTATAGGTAAGATGAGCCTCCTAGACCTGTCACACCACCCCCTTGATCACGGGATCCCTGTATTGGTCTTGCATTTTTCGAGGGCAATTTCACATCCATAGTTTTGTGTTGTCCCAAAGACCAGGGAACACTCGTGGGGTAGTTATCTTCCTCCCATACTTACCAAGAGGAAAATTGCATGCAGTGGAGTTAGCTGTAACTTAATAACATAGCGTGTGTGCTAAGACCAGTATCCAGATCTGCATATTTTTCTGAATTATTTCAGAGGACTACACTCCTGGCTTGAGTTTGTTTTTTTGTTTTCGTTTTTCAGCTTTAACTTACATACTTACATACTATAATGTTCACCCTTTTAACTTTTTTAATATATTCACAAAGTTGTGCAACCATCACCACTATTTAATTCCAGAACATCTTCTTCACCCCCATGCCCCATTGACCATCACTCTGCATTCCCCGTTCCCTCGAAACAACAAATCTACTTTCCCTGTGGATTTGCCTATTCTCGACATTTCATAAAAATACAATCATGCAGCATGTGTCTGACTTCCTCACTTTATGAAATGGTGCAAGGTTTATCTCTGCTGTAACATGAATAAATACACTTTGTTACTACTCATGACTGAATAATACTCAATTATGTGAATAAACCATGTTCTTTTTATCTGTTCCTTGGTTAATGAACATCTGGGCTGTTTCCAGTTTGGGCTCTTATGAGTAACACTGCTGCAAACATGGTTCATTTTCTTTGTATGTACCTAGGAGAGGAATTACTGTTGTGTAGTTACAGCGTAACTTTCTGAGGAAATGCCACACTGTTTTCCACATTAGCAACAGCATTTTACACTCCTAGTATCAGTGTGTGAGGGTTCCAGTTTCTCCACATCCTCATTACCACTCCTTATTTTGCATCTTTTTAATTTCAACCATCTTAGATGATATGCATCTCTCTGGTGACTTAGAATGTTGAGCATCTTGTCACGCACTGCTGGCTGTCTCCTATCTTGCTTGGTGAAATAAATTATTTGTCCATTTTTTAAACTGAGTTGTTTGTCTTTTTATTGTTGAGTTGTAAGAATTCTTTATTTTTCTGGATACCAGACCTCTAGCAGATTCATGATTTGCATATGTTTTCTTCCATTCTGTGGTTCTTTTTACTTTCTTCATAGTGTCCTTTGAAGCACAGAGTTTTTAACTGTAACGAAATCCAGTTTCTTTTTCTTTTATTACTTGTGCTTTTCACATCTAAGAAACCATTGCCTGATCAGAGGTCGAAACAGTTTTTACTTAGGTTTTCTTCTAAGAGTTTCAGCTTTTACATTTAGATCTTTGGTTCATTTTGAGTTAATTTTTTTGTATGTAATGCAGGTAGAAGTCCAATTTCATCCTTCTGCATGTAGATATCCAGCTGTCCCAGCGCTGTTTTTTGAAAAGACTATTCCTTCCCCATGTGATTTGTTGCCAGTCATGTTGAAAATCAGCTCTCCATAGTGTTTGGGTTTATTTGTGGGCTCTCAGTTCTGTCCCATGGATCTGTATGTCTGTCCTTACGCCATTACCACACTCTCATAATCACTGTTGCTTTGTAGAAAATTCTTGAGACCCTAAGTGTGAGTCCTCCAACTTTTGTTTTTCTTTTTCCAGATTGTCTGGCTATTTTGGGTCCCTTGTATTTTCATATGAATTTTAGGGTCATCTTACCATTTTCTGTAATAAAGCCAGCTGGGATTTTAATAGGGATTGCCTTGACCCTGTAGATTAATTTGGTGAGTATTGCTATGCCGATATTAATGTTTTACAATCTGAGAACCTGATATGTCTTTCCATTTCTTTAGATCTGTAATTTCTTTCAACAGTAGTGGTATTAGTATACATGTCTTGTACTTTTGTTAAATTTATTCCTAGGAATGAATTCTTTAAATGCTCTTGTTAATGGAATTAATTTCATTTTTTATTGTTTGTTACTAGTATATGGAAATATAGTTCAAGGAATGTCTATTCAAGTGTTTCACCCATTTTTTTTTTCAAAGATTTACTTATTTTTATACAAGAACTGGGGTACAGGCCAGACGTGCGGGAGGGTGAGCGGATTCACCAGAGACAGAGCAGGGAGCAGAACAGGCAGACAACAGAGGGGAGCAGTGGGCGTGACAGGAGAGGTCTGCCGCGCCATGTGGGATGGAACCCACACTGCAGAGGCTGCAGACAGCTTCACAGCACAGCGTTCAACCTGCTGCACCACCGGGGAGGCCTGCCCATTTTTTATTGGGTTATTGTATATTTTACTATGTAATCATCTTGTAACCTACAACTTCGCTGAACTTATTTAGCTGTGATTGTGTGTGTGTGTGTGTATGTGTGTGTATTCCTTAGGATTTTTAATATACAAAATCAGGTCATCCACAAATACAGATTGTTTAACTTCTTCCTTTCCATTCTGGATGATTTTTCCCCCCTTGCCTAATTCCTCTGGCAATTCATAGATGCCTTTCATCAAGTTGAGATATTTTCTTTATTAAGAATTTATGGAGTGTGTTTTATCATGACAAGATGTCAGACTTTGAGAAATAGCCTTTTAGGTATTTATTGAGATAACTGTGGAGTTTTTTCCCTTTGTATTAATGTGGTATCTTATGTAGATTGATATTCATATGCTGAACCAACCTTGAATTCGGGGGATAAATCCCACTTAGTCATTCATTACCTCCTCTTTGGATTAAACATGTCTTAAATCTCAGCAGCGCTTTCTCCAAAAAACTTAAGTAGTATTTGTAAACTGTATTTCCATACTTCCCATTGTGCCAGCTGCCTTAGCTGCATTTCAGTTTAATCTCAGAGCAACTTTACATGGGATTAAATGAGATCCCATTTAAAGTGAGATATTGTTCCCATTTTACAGACGAGAACATGACACTTAGAGAAGTTGTGTGGCTTGGTGGGTGGGATACTCCAGCCTGTTACACGCTTAAGCCTCTCTGTCTGCATGGAGTGATGACTCCCCACTGCAGGCCTGCCTCTTCTACCTTGGTGTCCTTCTGAAACTGGCAGTGTCCTTTGACTCCAGAGTGAGAAGGTGAGACTTTTCTAGCTTGATGAGCAGTAAACACGGATGCCTTGTTTTCTTTCTCATCCTCCAGCGCCACCTTCTCCAGATGCTGACCTTTCTCCAGAGGAGCGCACAGGAGAGGAAGGGATGGCAGCTGGTCTCCTCATGGGTGGGCCCCGTGTAAGTTGGACATTTATTCTGAAAGGCAGCCTTTTTGAAAATATATCATTATTTAAAATATTAACATAATTTGTTGGGTTTTGTTTTTTAATTACAAAAAGAATTTGTGTCCATTGTAGAAAAATTAAACATACCCCAAAAATCACCCTTAATCTCACAGAGACAAACCTGCCTTTTGACTTTGTGTCTTTACAGTCACAGTCTCCCTTTCAAGCTTTCCCAGAATGCCTTTGTCCTACTTTGCAGTCTTCTCTTTACCTCCACTTGACAGAATCTGAGGAACATTTCATCAGGGGTCTTCTGCTGGCTTGTTCCTGATACATCCCACTGTGTAGTCCTTCTCGAGGGAAGAGACTGTTTTCTCCCTTTTCTTGTCCAGGCGTCGCCTTTATTTTTAGAACTTGAGTCTGTTCTTCCTCATCATTTCTATTTATTATTAGGTTTTTGTTTCTCTTTTCTCAGATTATTGTACAATTCTTTTTTTTTTTTTTTTTTAAGATTTATTTATTTATGTATACAAGAGCTGGGGCACAGGCCAGAGATGGGGTGGGTGTGGGGGGGGGGGTGAGAGGATTCACCAGAGACAGAGTGGAGAACAGAACAGGCAGACTGACCAAAATACACTGCTGAGGGGAGCAGCAGGCACAACAGGAGGGGTCTGCTGTACCATGTGTGTTGCTCCCTAGCGGGCCGGGAATGGAACTCGTGCTGCAGAAGCTGCGGATTGTTTCATAGTGCGGTGCTTAACCCCTTGCACCACCAGGGAGGCCCTAGTGTACAATTCTTGTTAAAAAAAATAAAACTTGAAGTTCTATTTGATTTTCTTCCGGTATATTTATATTAAAAGTTTTTGATTGTGCATCTTATTTTTTTAGATATTCCACAGTTGTAACTTTGGTTTCTTTGCACACTTGGCTGGCCAGTGCTCTGGGACAGAGACTGTGTCTTGTCAACACCTAGAGGTGGTGCCTGCAGCGTGTCGGGTCAGGCAGCTCAACCTTCTTGATTACATCACTTAGTTCTTCCATTCCGTTTTTTTGTTTGGTTTGTATTCTATCGACAACTGAGATGTTTTAAATAAGCCAGCTCGAATAATGTAATGTTTTCAATTTCTCTTTGCACTTCCTAGTTTTTCCTTTATGAATTATAATTTAGTTCATGACATATCTTTACATGGCTTTTACTCTCTTGATTATTATAAAATGACCCAAATGCTTTAAGTATTTCATAATTTTTACAAATTGACTCTCTTTGTCCCATTCAGTGCATTTCCGGGTGTGAAGACTGGTTTGGAAGGACAGGCAGGAGATCAGTTCTCATTTGGGAAGTGATGTTGACTTAAGACAGCAACAGGGCACAGGGAGCAGGGGGTGAATTCTCGTGATACCGAGGCGGGGGAGTCAATAGGCAGTTGATGAGTGGGGAGCTGCAGGAAAGAGGCGGCTCGCTGCGACTGCTGGAGTGGCCAGGAGGTAAACGGGGGGCGGCACTCTGACCTGCAGGTGGAGGCACCATTCCCAACAGCTGCTCCTGAGCCGCCCCTGCCTCGGACGCCTTCTCCTTTGGGGCCAGCTCATCTCTGCTGTCCCCCCCGCCATCCATCCAAGGGTCCTCTCTGTGATCCTCGCGCTGGTCTGTCCGTCTCTCGGACCCATCACTCAAAGTCATGGCCTTCGTGGCCTGCTCTCCCGTGCTGTGCTTCGGGATTCTTGCATTCACAGAAATACTCACTAAATGTTCTGAAAACATTCACCTTTCACATTTCTTTGCTAATTTGCCCCTGATTCCTCATTGCATAAACCCATACTCTAATTTTGTTTTTCCACACTGGCTCTTTTATCTCCAAGTGCACAATCCTCATAGACAACCAGATTTTCTGTCTTTGTGTATCTAAGGTCTACCAGTTGTAGCCATGTGAGGAAAAGAGACTGTCTTCGTGTCACCATCTAGTATTGGGCACACAAACATGATTGAGAAATGCTTTTCTTGAACCACCCGGAGCCCTGAATCCTTTACCCTTTCTGGGCCTGCTGGTCATCTCACCTAGAGTGGCCAACCTCCCCACCCCATCACCTCCACCACCTCATATCCAAAGGCCACTGGGTGATGAGAAATGTGCTTCTTGTTTTAGGGATCCATGCCCTTCGGTGCGAGCCTCGCTTTTACCCAGAAGGCGTGGAGGCCCTCGGTCCCTGCTGCAAGGGGCAGGCTCAAGGATGACACGGCCAGGAACCTGGTCCTGCTTGGTAAGATGTCATTGAAAATTCAGTATCTGCTCGGTTTTAAAAATCTGGCACACTGAGTGTCTGATGCTCCTGAACTGCTCTGACACACCGGAGGGGCGTGCTTGCTCCTCTTCATGCCCTCATCAAAGAGCCCAGCCTTGCCAGTGGGCAAAAGGGCAGTTTCATTTCCCTGCCCCGCCACATGTCATTTTCTTATTTCCCAGGATGAGGGGTGAGATAACCTTCAGGCCAGATCTTCCACTCAGGAGTCCCTCTCCTCTCGGTGGCTGACGTAGCTTACCTCACTTCCCCTCGCTGAGGCTGCCGCTTCAGCTCCATGTCTCTTTTTTACTGTTGCATGCCATAGTCAGTGAGTGCTCAGTATGTGTGTGTTGAGTGAATTAAATGAGGGACCTGATGCATGTTTCCACTCCCCTGAGGGCGGGTGGCTAATTATACTTCACACAAGTCTCTGAAGCCTGCTTTTTCCTCTTAAATAGGACTTCCCGTTTCCCAGCCTGGCGTGAACTCCCAGCTGGAACAAAGGGAAAGCCCGTGGGTGCTGGAGGGAAAAGGCCTAAGAGGTACCTGTCCGGGTGAGTGTGCAGGCACCAAGCCATTGAGTCTCAGGAGTAAAAGCCCTTTTAACACTCCATGAAGGCGATGCTGTTGCCCCCATTTTACAGAAGATGAGATTACCTAAAGAGGTAACTTGCTGGCTCAGAGCCTCATGGCTGGAATTGGCAAGGGCGAGGCTTGAAACAAATTGCCGTGTTAGTGGAAGCAGAAGCGGGTGAGGCCATTCCCGCCGAGGGCTGTCTCTGAGTGCTGGTGTAGAAGTACTCTGGGTGTGGGCCTGTGAAGAGGCTCTCCGGCCCTGGATTGCTGCCTACTGACCATTCACAAGGTCACCTGTCTCTGTCTGGAAAACGTAGAAAACAAAATACTGTTTTACAAACTAACATGCGAAAATATGTCAGCTGCCAATGCTGGATTAGCTGCGTGAGAGTAAAGTAGTTAGAAGGCACTTTGCTCATCTGGCTGTTGGAGTAATGGAAACGCCACATCTGGGGTGTTGCTCCTGCTGAGACCCCTGGATGTCGCCATACCCCCACGCTGGGCCAAGCCCACCCTTCTGTAGTGCATGTTGGTGTCTCCCTAGGCCCAGCTGGTCACTGTGGCTCATTTGCATTGCTTTGTCTTTCATTCAGTCAACACACATGCATGAAGCGTCCCTGGCGCTGTTCTAGCTGCCGGAGGCACGAAGTGAGACAGACCCTGGGTGCGTGGTGGTGAGGAGCACACAAAGAACCCAGAACGCTGGATCGTGGCAAGGGCTGTGAGGAAACCAGCTGGGAGGAGGGAGTGGTGACGCGGGAGAAAGGGGAGAGTGGGGATGCGGATGGGCTGGGGGCTGTTCTACGTCAGATGACTAGGAAGGATCTCTCAGGTGGAATATTCTGGGCCACAGCCTATGTTGAGCACAGAGCTGGGAATGAACTTGGCTTGTGTTAGGCTCAGAAGAGCCTGGGACTCGGTGAACAAGAGGGCGAGTGAGGGTCAGCAGGGGCAGGTCACCTGGGGCGCTGGAGGCCACGGTAATGCTTTGTGTGTGTGCAGCCGGGCAGCCGTGGAGCGTTGAGGAGGGAAGGGACAGTGTTTGATTTGTATATAAAAAGACCATCCAGCAGAACAGGCTTCCAGGGGTCAAGAGTAGGGCTAGGGAGACTGGTTAGGAGTCCGGACCGGATGGTGCGGTGAGATGGCAGTGGCTGGTAGGGAGTCGGGACCTGTTCGGGTATTAAAGCCAGCCGGACTCACTGGCTGGTTGGATGTGAGGGATGAAGGCATTCAGGATGATGGCTTGCGTGTTTGTGAAGACCAGTGGCTTGAAAGGGAAAATCGACAGTTCTATTTGGGGTCTGTGGGTTTGGGGTGTCATTAAACAGCATTATACGGGCGGCGGCACTCAGGAGAGCTGGATGGGGGCACAATGCATGGGCATCACGTGGTCTTCTGAATTGCTCCTTTCTCCCCTGTTTGTCTGTTCCACTTTGCCATCTCGCACTTGGACGGCCTGGCTTTGAGAGCTCAGAGCCATCACCCAAGCATGATCGAATAGCGAGTTGCCGAGATGCTCTCAGCCAGAAGCAGGCACCCCGGTGCTTGGGTGTTAGGGACATGCTCGGCCATTTTAGGTGGTTTCCAAGAAGGCCCGAGAGAAGAGAAAACCCTCGTGTGACATTTAGGGTTCCTCAGCGACAATCTGCGTCCTTATGCTTTTATCTCACTGGCCCTCCCGAACGTCCTGAGAGTACGTTCACAAATAATAAGCCAAGGCATAGAAAGATTAAATCATGTACCCGAAGTCAAATAGCTAGTAAGACGGGAAGCCAAGGCAGTGTGGGTCAAGATTCTTTATAGAAATTAAAATAAAGTCCCCCTTGAACTCAGTCTGCTCTGCTGTTACCTTCTCTGAGAAGGTGGGGCTGGGAAGATCTCCTCAGGAAGGCGCACCTTTATGAAAAGAAGTTCCATGGGCCTGCCTAAAACTCCACTCCCTTACCCGGAAGCCCCTACATGGAAGAGGGAGACAGGTGTCTGGGATGCTAGGATTCATTTAGTTTACGTTTCCAAATAGTAAATAGTCACATTTTAAAGCTTTCTCTGAAATGAATGAGGTTCCAAAGAAGGTTAAGAGGTAATGTTACTTATTCTTTTTTTTTTTTTTTAAAGATTTATTTGTTTGTGTATGCAAGCACTGGGTACAGTCAGAAGCGCGGGAGGGTGAGAAGATTCACCAGAGCCAGAGTGGGGAGCAGAGCAGGCAGAAGGACCGAAGTACACTGCTGAGGGGAGCAGCGGGGGGCAGGAGAGGTCTGCGCGCCATGTGGGACCCTCCTCCGGTGGCCAGGGTGCAGCCGGGGATCGAACCAGCGCTGTAGATACTGCGGGCAGCCTCGCAACCCAGCGCTCAACCACTGCGCCACCGGGGAGGCCCACTTATTCTTTTAAAAATAATTTTCTAATAAAAATATAATTTGGAAAAAGAAAATCAAGACCTCCCTAGCATCCCACCATACTTATTCTTCTAAATGTAATGGTATATAATTTTACGTAATTTTTTTTTCACTTAATAGTTTATCATTGTGTAGTCTTTGAAAGCAAACTTTTGTAGCTTTCATTATAAAAATACTATGGTTCCCCACTGGAGCACATTAGAAGATAGACTAAGCATTAAATAAAAATCCCTCCTGATCCCACAACCCACAAAACACCTGTGACAATCACATTGTAAAAGTTTCCAGTGTCTTTTCACCAAACACCTCTTGACAAAACAAGGTCTAGTGTGCAGACTGAAGACTTGTGGCGGCCAAGCAGCGTCACGTGGCGTGCACAGACCCCACCGCACGCCGTGGTCATTCCTTCTCGTTAAACACTCAGGTGCTTGCTCTCCCTGTGTAAACGATGCTGTGACGAGTCCCTGTCGATGCAGCTGTTCCTGAGGATAAAAGTTCATCCAAGTGGGATTCTGTTGTCAGGTTTGCCATTGCCACGTGCAGCCAGATGGCTCAGAAAGGCCGGCCCGGCCGACGCGGCCGCGCCAGTGCTGAGGTCGCCCGCCGGCTGCTCGCCCCACGGTCAGCCAGCCCTGGAACGCTTGCTGACTGGGTACATGAGGGAATTGCTTACTAGCGTCAGCCATCAGCAAGTGAAGTATTTAAACACGGTGAGCAGACTGCCCGGCACCTGGCAAGAGCAGGGTGGTTTGAGAGTAAGGAAGGAAAGGCGTCTCGGCCATCTGAGGTGGGAGGCCTGAGCGTCCTCTCACCCTGCTGCGTTTAGAGGGCAGCCAGGGCCTCCCCGGTGGCGCAGTGGTTGAGCGCTGGGTTGCGAAGCTGCCCGCAGCCTCTGCAGCGCCGGTTCGATCCCCGGCTGCTCCCCGGCCACCGGAGGAGGGTCCCACATGGCGCGCAGACCTCTCCTGCCGCCTGCTGCTCCCCTCAGCAGTGTCCTTCGGTCCTTCTGCCTGCTCTGCTCCCCGCTCTGGCTCTGGTGAATTCTCTCACCCTCCCCACTTCAGACTGTGCCCAGTGCATGTATAAATAAAAATAAATAAATCTTAAAAAAAAAATAGAGGGCAGCCGAAGGGCGCGCGAGCCACCGTGGCCATTCACTGTGGTTTTGAATGCAATGTTCCAGGTGACAGGAGGTAATGCACCAGACCTGGCTGCCTCAGACCGCTCCTTCCAGGGACAGGATGGAAAGACAAACTGTTTCTACTTTTTCAGACTGGAAGACCACACCCGCCGAACCACTGCCTGAGCAAGACGTTTCTGAAGACTCGCTCCAAGATGCAAGAGCTGAGCTGCCCCCCTGGGAGCTGGGGGGGAGCCTCAGCCTGAGGCCAGTCCTTTCTGCACAACAGCGAACCCCTGCCCAGGTGAGCCCCCAGAAATGTGAAATGCACACCAGGAGCGTCAGGAGGAACGCCGCGGGAGAGACAGCTCACCGGACGCAGCCGTACACGTGTAGCGAGTGCGGCAAAGCCTTCAGCTACTGCTCCTCCCTCTCTCAGCACCAGAAGAGCCACACTGGGGAGAAGCCCTATGAGTGCAACGAGTGCGGGAAGGCCTTCAGCCAGAGCTCGTCTCTCAGTCAGCACCAGAGGATCCACACTGGAGAGAAGCCTTACAAATGCAGTGACTGTGGCCGAGCCTTCAGCCAGAATGCCAACCTCACCAAGCACCAGCGAACTCACACCGGAGAAAAGCCCTACAAATGCGGCGAGTGTGAGAAGGCCTTCAGTGACTGCTCGGCCCTCGTTCAGCACCAGAGGATCCACACGGGCGAGAAGCCCTACGCGTGCAGCGACTGCGGGAAGGCCTTCCGCCACAGCGCCAACCTCACCAACCACCAGAGGACGCACACGGGGGAGAAGCCCTACCGCTGCGGCGAGTGCGGGAAGGCCTTCAGTTACTGCGCGGCGTTCATCCAGCACCAGAGGATCCACACGGGCGAGAAGCCCTACCGGTGCGGTGCCTGCGGGAAGGCCTTCAGCCAGAGCGCCAACCTCACCAACCACCAGAGGACGCACACGGGGGAGAAGCCCTACCAGTGCGGCGAGTGCGGGAAGGCCTTCAGTCAGAGCACAAATCTCATTATACACCAGAAGACCCACACCGGGGAGAAGCCCTACAAGTGTAACGAGTGTGGGAAATTCTTCAGCGAGAGCTCCGCCCTCATTCGACATCACATCATCCACACTGGCGAGAAACCCTACGAGTGCAACGAGTGCGGGAAGGCATTTAACCAGAGTTCATCCCTTAGTCAGCACCAGAGGATCCACACGGGCGTGAAGCCCTACCAGTGCCGCGAGTGTGGGAAGGCCTTCAGGTGTAGCTCGGCCTTCATTAGGCATCAGAGACTCCATGCTGGAGAGTGACTGGGAACCTAACGGCAGTGGATCGGGACAGGTAAGTGCAGGTAGTTTGAAAGCATCTGCAGGTACTTTTTGTAGTCTGTACCCCAGAGTCACATGCAACAGCACCTTTAATAAAGTTGCTTTTTAACATGTTTCATGTGGGAGGTCTGCTTTCTCCTTAGCAGCCTCAGTGAGCATAAACTGGCCCATTCAGATCAGTTTTAGACATACAGTGCATCATGCCAAAGTCCATTTCGTGTAGCAAGCACTCCAGAACCCAGCCTGTAAGGAATGCCAGCCAGCCAGCCAGGAGCCTGGTTCTCAAGCACTGGATGGTCTTGGCAGTGCGTGTGGTCTGGAATGGGCTGTTACAAAATGAGAACAGAGATCAATGGCCAAGAACGGGCATTTCCTAGAATCCCCTAGGGGGGCTGCAGATACACCCAAGGCTGGGGAAGGCACTGCTGAGCTAGTTAAAGCTGTAGGGAAAACATGGCGCAGTAAGGTGGAAGATTTCAAGCTGTAAGACTGGGGCAATCTGCTGACCGTGGTCTCCCTGGCTTAGTGGGTCCCCGCGTTTGCTTTCTTGCTCAGAGGTCCCTTTCCTTTAGATCAAGACCACCACCTGGTCAGCCGGCTTTCTCCATTGCCTTGGCCTAAGTCCTCCTTAACGTGTATTCCTGCACCCAGCTAGAGACCTTATCAGCATTAAATGCTAAGCTTAACAGCTGTTAGCCAGCACCCCCAAACCTTTGACTGGTCTCTTCAACACGGGTGTGTTCCCAAACCCAAAACTGGGACTGAAGGCCACCACCTACTTTCAAGTGCCCAGTGACAAAAAGACTGCTCTGGGGAGACAGTTCTTGGGCAGTCACTTCCAACTCCCTTTAGGGGAGTGTCCACAAAGCCCTTCCAGGTGGGGCGCTTCCAGCTGGCCTGGTTTCTGAAGTTCTTCCCTTTGTTACATAGCAATGGGAAAGAAAGTTCATTGAAGTGAGAACTAAGGACCAGCTCGGAAAAGGTGAAAAACATGAGCAAGTAGTGACTGGACTAGAGTGAGCATGTTGAGAGCACAAGGGGCTGCAAGTCAGCTGCACAGTGGAACCCCGTGGCGGAGCTCAGGTTCCTCATCGTACCATATGGAGGTTCTGAGCTCCAGCTGGGTGGAGAGGAAAGCCTGGCACTGAGGGTCACCCAGAGAGGAAATCTGGTGCACAAAGCTTCCTCCCCATTTCTTTTCAGAACAAGTCCACCCTCTGGCCAAGAGCTTTTCCTCACAAGGGGCTCCATGCACAAAGAAGCAGAGACCCGCCTTCTAGGTCTTCTCTATACAGGACAGAAATCTTGTCATCCCAAGGACCGTGTTACCCAGATTGCTTTCCCCATGGATTCTGCCACCTTGGCCCCATCAGACCTGGCTCCCTCCCGCCCAAAGAAGAGGCCACATCAAAATGTCCACTGTCAAATGATCCTTTATTGTGATTTTCCTTGATTTTTCTTAACTCTGTGGGATGAAAAAAGAATCCAATCAACAAAAGGACTAAAGTTCTTTTCCTCCCAACTCTTAGCAATTTTTGTAACTTTCCAACTCATCTCCGTGAATGCATCAACTTCCCCCCCACCCCAAGTGTTAGCAGGAGGCCTGACGCAGCTCACTTACGGCAGGGCACTCCACTGCGCCGCTGTTGATGTCATCGATGATGTCGTGAGGGTGGCGGCCATCAACGTTGCAGCCCACGGACTGGGCGGTACCAAGGATCTCTTTAATGGTGCCTGGAATCCAGCAAAGTAGCCTCAGGTTGATAGGTCTCACAGTTCCCAGACTGAGGGGGTTAGGATTAGGGGGGTGGTTGTGTTGAGCTTCACCGCAGACAAGGAGATAACCTAGTTCACGGAGTATCTAACACCTCCCTAAGCCAGCACCTCACGATCTGTGTATACTTACGAAGCAGTTCGATTACTCACACCAAGCCCAAGCTGGTCGCCATCTCAACCCAGTCTTGTCACTGGCTGAAGTGAGGAAGGTACTGCACCCCTATCCTGGGCCTTAGAGTAACCTCTCCCTCTTGGGAAAACTCGACCACTCAGATGCACCCCACGAAACAATGTGGTTCTCGCTCTTACCAGAGAGTTCTCTAGCTAAAGATCGGTGCCGCATCTGCCGAGCTATGCTGACAATCTCGTCGAACGTGATATTCCCACTGTGCTTAACTGCAGAGAAAAAAGCAAGTCTGCTCACAACCCTCGGCCAGAGCAGACCAGTAATATCCTTCCCTCATCCATCTTAAAGGTGTTCCCATGCTTTCGGCACAGAGTCATCCACATGAAGAACAACCCTGTTTCCTAAGCTGGGGTTCGCTATCAGCTCACCACTGGATTGCACCAGCCAACAGACCTGGTCAGGCGCAGTGGCGGGTGGCTAGGGGCAAAGCCAGGTAGCTTCCATGGGAGGTGTAGACACGAGCTTACGCTATAGGGTCAGAATGTCACCCAGCTCAGAAATGGCCTTGAGATTACTGGCTGTTATTCTTGGTAGTGCCTGGCTCTGAAAAGCTTGAGCATCAAACCTCTGCAACCCCAAAAACCTACTGCTATGGACCACCCTGGGCAGACCACACCCTCCAACTATAACCAATTAGCAGGGAAGGGGCCACTCACTGTTCTTCTGCTTCTTCCTGTCCCTCGGTGGTTCCTTGAGCGCTTTGATGATGAGGGCAGAGGCTGAAGGTACCACCTCAATCTGCATTAGACATTCTCAATGTGAATAAACTGCCCCACCCTGGTTCTCAGTGACAACGGGCCACTAGGTTTATTCAATCCACACTGGATTAACTTAAGTAATTTTCCATCTGAAACATTTGGCTCACGCTCTTGAAAAAACCTTCCCCACCAAGGCAAAATTGCTTCCTGCTCCTCACCACTGGCAGCAGGTGCATTGCCAGCAAAAACCACCCACCCAGGAATCCCAGAGGGTTGCTACCTCTGGCCTCCCCCCAGCCAAGTACCTGGGCCTGTCTGTTTTGAATGGTGAGTTTCACTGTTATCCTCAGCCCCTTCCAATCACCAGTTGCCTTGGCAATGTCATCACCAACTTTTTTTGGAGACTGTAGAAATAAAAATCTCGTTGCGCCCAAAGTTGAAGTACAACTTACAATCCACCCAGTCCTTTCCACTTGGCAACAGCCCCAAAACCCCCCTCATCCAGCACAGGAAGCTGATGTGATGGTTAACTACTCTGTCAAGCTGTGGCTATCATCACAGTATAAACCAAGAGAGGCTGGGGGTGGTTTGTCCAGGGCTTCAAACTGCAGTCTCAGGCGCACTGAGGCACCCCTTGGCCTCCCCACCTTCTCTGGCCAGGTAATGTAGCCACTTCCAAGGCTTTAAGCCACTGTGCAAGGACTAAAGGCCTAAATGACAAGTTCAGAGTAAGATGGAGGGGATACAGGCAAAGGAGGCTGGTGCTGGGGAAAGCAGGCCGCGTTAACCAGCAGGGTCAGGGCTGAGTTGGGATACAAGCTATGATGCCCACCAGCATGTTCGCCTCCACCCCAGTTTATCTCAGCACCAGCACCCCTTGCCTTGCCTGTTTCATACCGGGCAAGTAACAGTTAAGCAGCCTGCCCCGTGTCACGAAGGCCACTCGAATAGGCACATGGCCTCTTCCTACCGCAGGTGTAGAGCAGCCTAAGAGCCAGGGGATTAAGTTACAGCTAAGGTCCAAGCTAGCTCTTCCCACATATATGCCCCTGCTGTGCGCTCAGTGCCGCAGGCTCAGAGCTTGTCGGGGTGACACTGTCTGCACGCGCAGGGCTTAGGGGCTCTCCTCCACGGTAATCGCCTCGATGACTTACCAGACCCAGGGGTCCAATCTTGGGGGCCAGGGCAGACGTGGCACCGACTTCCCCCCCGGTGCACCGCAGGTATACTGGGAGAAAGCAAGGGTGAGTGCCTGTGCAGAGGGCGCCCCGACCCACTGCCTCTCCCCGGGGCTGGCCACACCACCCTCTGCCCTCTGGGCAAAGAGCCTTAGCGGGAAGACAGGCGGCCGCCCCTCCTCCCCCGGCCGGCGAGTCGCCCCTTCCTCGGGCGTAGACTACACCGATGTGCAGGGGGGGCAGCCCCGGCCGCCAGCCGGGCCAGTCTGGGGGAGGGGGGGCGCCCCGACACAAACCTTACCCTAAGGCGTGCCGGGGCCAAGCCACCGCGGGTCGTCCAGTCCTCCCTCCGCACACTTGCGGGGAAGCTGAGACCAAGCAAAAGTGAGACCTGGCCAGGCCCGCAGGCGGCCTGAGCGCAGCACCAGGAAGGCCTCTAGGAGGCTGCGGCGTGAAAACCCACGAGGAAAAAGACTACGGCGGCGGGGCCGCAGGCCAGACGGGCCGCGGGGAGGAGGGAAGCTCCATCTCGCAGCCCCGGCCACCTCTAAAGCACGCACCGACTTTGACTTCGTTGGGATCGAACTTAGGCGGCATGGCGGAGGCGGCTGGTGTCGGATGAACCCGGATTCGGGACGACCGAAGAAAGTTGCACCTAGGCCTCCTCCGAGCCGAAAGCCGAAAGACCGGAAAGGGCGCTAGCGCGCCGGATATAGGCGGGAAGACGCGGCTCTCGCGAGAACCGGAGGTCCCGCCCAGCCGGCCTGCGACGGCCCTGCCGCCATGTCTCTTGTGGGCAGGCGCCGGCTCAGCTGCCGGGAGATCCCTCCTCCGGGTGAGCCGAGGCTAGAGGTCCCCGGCGGGGCTGGGGGGCCGGGGGGGCTGCTCAGCGCATTGGCCCCGGGGAGGCTGACAAGACAGGAGAGCTGGTCGCCAGGTCCGGGCTCCGCTGCCCCTACTCGTCTCTTGAGGGTCATCCGCGGTCCCCGCCGTCCAGTCTCAGGCCCCGCCCCTCCCCGGAGGGGTCTGCGCCCCGCTCCCCGAGATCCCGGCCCGCCCCGGGCCCCTGCCAACTCGCTCGTGACGTCAGCGTGTTCGTCACCAAACAGTTTCATTCGGGTCCGCATCCAGTGTCGCCCCGACCCCCCGAGTCCGCGCTCGCCCCGGGCTGCGCGACTTTCCGGGCGTCCGAGTTCGCGCCCGGCCGCCGCGCCGCGGGGCCCCGGCTCGGCCTCCCCGCGACCCGGCCCGTGACCACGGCCTGCGAGTGACCCGCCGCCCTCCGGCCCCCGCGGAGGGAAGGAACGTCGGGGCCGCAAAGCCAGGTGGGCCGGGCCCCCGCGACCCGCCCCCGCCGGGGAGGGCGGGGGTCTCCCCCTCAGCGCGGGGCCGCGCGGGCGGGGCCTGGGCCCCGGCTGGGAAGGGTCGGCCCGAGAAGGACGCGGTGGGGATGGTCACCGGGACGCGCTGAGGAGGGCTGGGCTTCGGGGGAGGGGGGCCGGAGCGTTAGGCTTTGGGGAGCAGCGGGGCTGGCTCAGGGAGGGGTGGGAGAGGGCTGTCAGGAGGCCGCTCCCCACCCCTGCGGCAGGTGGGGTGACAAAGAGGGGCCGGAGCCAGCGAGCTCTGCAGGCTTGGCCAGCTCCCCACCTGCCCACGCCCCTGTGGGCGGAGACCTGTGATCCCTGCCCGCCCCTTTGCGTGGGTCTCAGCTCACCCCCTCCCCAGTGCTCCCCAGTGCTGTAGCAGGGGCTGGTAAGTGTTTGGTAGGTGTGCCGGGGTGTGGCTGGCATCGGCTGGGCACTCCTATGGGCGCACTGTGCTGTGGGCTCTACTCTACGAAATCCCTGGGTCCTCAGGGTAACCCAGGGCGGGTCACAACTTTACAGATGAGGAAACTGAGGCTCAGAGAGGTGAACCCAGGTGACACGGTTGGTGGGTAGATTCAAATCCAGTTATATTTCACCCCAAAGCCTTTGCTGTTAGCCATACGCTTCCCTGGATGATTATTGCTTGCCCGTGGCCGGGGTTTACAGATCCTGGGCAGGCAGTGACCTGGCTTCAGTTCAGGGTGGTAGACCTAGTGTGCGCTCAGTTATTGGCACATTACAGAGTTGGGCAAAGTCCACAGAATCAGGACTCCAAAGACCAGAGTTGCAGGCTGGTTTTGCTACAGTCCAGGCCGTGTGACAGATCCCTGAGCTTGAGGAGCATCAGGCTCCCCAGTATAAACAGGGCTGTGGCGAGACTCAAATGAATAATGGCAGTGAGGGTGGCTAGGTGCCTGAGGATGACATCTGAATTTTTAATTAACTTAGAGAGCTCTTGGGTTTTGACGTAGTTGAGCTCCCCAAGGTCATGACGGATGGATGCCATGTTTGGTTGGCTGATGCCAAACACTCTGTGTTTGGGGAGCTGAAAGTCTGTTGGAGTCCTCAAAGTCCTCTTTGGAAAGAAAGGTGGGGTGGGGGGGTGCCCAGAATGGGAAAAAGGTCTGCCAGCGTCACACAGTGGGCTGGTGGCAAATATGGCCACACGCAGGTCGCCTGGCTTGCCGCTGTGCTCTTTGCATCATGCCCTGATGTTTGCTGTTTACTCACCAAGGAACAGACTAGGCAAGGCAGACAAGGCACGGCGCTGGATACCCCGCTGCCCTCGTGGAACTTACAGTCCAGCGACCAGCCACCCACTGTGGGTTACTGTGCTGGATGGCCTGTCCTGGCGCCCTGGGGGCAGTGACAAATTCCCCAGACCCCAACTTTTCTCCCGTGTCCTAGTGTGGAGAAGATTGCCCCAGGAAAAGAAGGATGCCACTCTTCTTCCGGAAGCGGAAACCAAGTGAGGAGGCTCGGAAACGCCTGGAGTACCAGATGTGTCTGGTGAGGGAAAGCGGGTTTCCTGAGTCCACCCCATCTCCACCTCTGCCCCAGACAAGCTGTGCTCCCTCCCACCCGCCCCCTGCCCCATCCTCAGAAAGTCCAGAGCAGACCTTCGAGGCCAGTGGCAGCACTGGGAGGCCCTGCACTCCCCTCCCGAGACTGGTCACACTTGCATTGTTTGTTCCTTTTCTCTGCGGGACCTCAGACCCCAAGCCCCGCTGCAGCCAGATCGTTGGCCCAGCTGCAAAGTGGACCTGTGAACCCGCTGGTGTCGTGGCCCCTTGCAGCCCCTTCATCCTCTTTCTGTGTTTGCTTTGTTCATCTGCCAGAGTAATTCTGTGTGAATATTTTTTGTTTTATTGGAATTATTTTTCATCCTTAGGCGAAAGAAGCTGGGGCAGATGACATTCTCGACATCTCCAAGTGTGAACTCTCGGAGGTAAGGTGGGGGGCAGTGCTCTCGGGCTGTGGAATGACAGCTGTTCTTTGTCTTGGATCGCGTGACCCTAAGGAACGCTACATGAATGGGGCTTTGAAAGGTCCAGAAGCAATGGTCAAGGGATGTTTCCTTTGTTTTCGTTCTTGTCCAGAATGACTGAGATGATCTTTTGGCCTCAACATAGAGAGTTAAGGAGTCTAGAAAATGTATCCACAGGTGCCCAGAGTTTGGGGAGAGTCTGAAATCCTCCAGCCTCTGCAAAGCACTGCGTCTGTCTTTTTCCTCTAACAGAGTTCATGGTGGGGTGGGGTGGGGTCCCAGCCGAGTTGAAGGGGGGCTGGCCATATCCGGACCCACATTCCTCACCAGCTCTGCAGCTGACCCGCTGTCTCCACCTCAGCACTTTGTTCACCTCCTGCCCCGTCTCCTCTCACGTGTGTGTCACTCCGAAAGCAGATTAAAAACCAGCAGGAGGGGAGGCACTGACTCACTTTTTCCGATCTTAGATTCCATTTGGGGCTTTTGCAACATGCAAAGTTCTGCAGAAGAAGGTGAGTCGCGTCTTCACTTTCAGAGAATCGTTTATTGCTTGTTTGCTTGTTTGAGATCAGGTAGGACTCGCAGGCGCTGTCTCCCTGCGGCTCTAACACCCACCCTTCCCGCCTGCCCTCGCCCTCACAGCAGGAGAGCAGCCTTAGCTTCAAGGGCCCCATCACATCCTGACTCTGCACCTTGTGACTTGGGCAACTTCCTCAAATTCTTACAGCCCTTTTCTTCATCTCTGAAGTGAAGACATTGTAGTTCTGCCCTCACAGAGGCATTGTGCAGGCTCACCGAGGCCGGCAGGCACATGGGTCAGCACCTCAGCACCGTGCCTGCCGCACGGTCACCACGGCGTGATCTCAGTGTTAATAATCATAAAAACTACCGGCATTTCTCTCTGGTCACGAGGGGAGGTCAAGAGTGGGAGGAACAGTTTTGCAGAAAGGCATCCAAGCTTTGCCCGCAGGTGGTTAAGGGTCTCCCAAATGCATTCTCTACGTGAGGGGAGCGAGAGGTTCCTCACCAGCCACGGTGAGCTCCCTCCTCTAGAAGGGTCCATGTGGGGGCGGTGCCTAGCAGAACCAGGGATTGGGATTGACTTGGTAGACGATGGGGCACAGTCCATGAGCCCGCCTGGCCTGAGAGCCCTTTGCGCTCGAGCTTGTTGGTCAGCCTCACAGGCAGCTACTTTATCACCGTCTATTTTCCACATGAAGAGGCTGAGGCTGTGGAGGGTGAAGGTCAGGATGGCTGCATGGGGACCCCTTGTAGAAGGGAAGGTGGAATTAGCCTCTGAAGTCCCTTTCACCCTCGAAATTCCAGGCTTTAAGGTCGTTCGATTCCCCATTCAGAGACTCCACGAACTACACCCCACTTTGCGGCATCTGGGGGACCAGGGAATGCGGGGCAGGGCAGCGCCTCTGTTACACCGCTCTGCTGTTAGCTCTTCTTCAACATAACATGTGGCAACTCTTTCCCACACAGGTGTTGATTGTCCACACGAATCACCTCACGTCTCTGCTCCCGAAGTCCTGTAGCCTCCTGAGTCTTGCAACCATCAAGGTACTTGCCCTTCTCCCCGGCATCAAGGACTCAGCCCAGCCCCCCACTCTTGTCGGGTCCCCTCTGTTTAAGTTTATGCCAGTCAGGCCCAATGTGGCTGCCAGCCTGTGGCTTGAGCTGACGTAGGGGGCACATTCAGCGTGCTATGCGTGGGCTGGGGTTGCAGGTCTTGCTCTCTGGAAGTCACCAGCTAGGAGAAAAGACAAACTGCAGACTTGTAGCAAGTGAACTAACAGGGGACGGGGAGAGTGATCGTCTGGGGGAGCCAGGGCCACGTGGTCGACATGTGAACACCCGAGATCTGACGCCACCCCTCCTGGCACTCAGCTCCTCCAGGACAGTAATAACTGAAAGGCTGACATGGCATAAAAGGGGATGAGATGGAATGACCGCCTGGTTGAAGAGGAAGGGTGGGTGTTCTTAGTTTCAACACCAGAGGACCTCTCCGCCCCCCACTTTCTCCCCTCTGGGGAGCCTGAAACACTCAGTGACCCATCAAAGGTAAACTTGTCTTGTTCCGCAGGTTCTGGACCTTCACGACAACCAGCTGGCAGCCCTCCCTGAAGATATCGGGCAGCTGACGGCCCTGCAGGTATGGCCGCGGGAAACAACCCAGCTCTGGTGGGCTCAGCAAGAAATCACAGCCCACCCCTCCCCACCCCCCAGCCTGGAATGTTCTGATTGTCTCTCGCTGGGGCCACGCTTGGTGCCAGCTCCCCCACCCTTTGCGCTCAAGATGCCCAGGGGGCACCCTGGCCACTGCCAGCTGCTCTCTGCCATATTATGTTTATGTGTTTTGGGATTTTATCTTGAGCTCCCAAAACTTTAAAGAACAGGAGCACCCAGCGAGTCCAGCTCTTAAGAACAATGAACTCAGCACCCAATTCTCGTGTCTTCTCCTTGTCATCAGCGGCTGCTGAGTCTACTGAGTGTCTGCACGCCTGCCCCCAGCTGAGCGTTTTCACTGCGTTGTCTGCTGGTTCCTCGCAGCCAAGCGCTGGGGCAGCTGTTAGTATCGTCCCACTTGGCAGAGGAATGAGTGTCTTTCCTTCACACTGGATGAAATTCACCCTCTGCCCATCAGCCCCTACAGGGTGGGCCCTGCCTGTCTTCCCGCTGTCCTTCCTCTCCCCTTTGCTCCCTGCAGCAAGCTCCTAAAACCCTGTAGGGCCTTCTCGCCTCGCCCCTGCAGGGCCTCTCCACTCGACTACTCCTTCTGCCTCAGTCCTTCATCCTTCAGCCCAAATGTCCTCGAGCATCCTCCCGACCTCCCCATCTAAGTAGATCCACCTTATCCGCCTCTGTCTCCACCCCCACTCCTTCCCGAGCACCTGTCGCCCTGACTGAAGTGCAGCCCCATGAGGTCAGCATCCCCCCTCAGCACCTGCCTCACACATGGAGGAGACTAAGAAGCACCTGGAGCGGGAGGCCCTACAATGCGGGTGGTGATGTTACATTGTACGGGAGAGGAAGCTGAGGTCCAGAGGGACGCGCATCACTGGCCCCAGTGACACGGCAGACAGTAGCCACTGCACCATGGAGACCTGCGTGAATGCCTTGCTCAGGCTCTTTTGAGACTTTATTTTTATGTGTATATCTTCATAGGATGGCGGCATTCACGGCTTGGTATCTTTGGGATACCTGGCAGTAACTGGTAGCCATCCTCCAGTTCGTCAAGTGTTCATTCTTTGTAATGACCGCTTAACTGTCCGTTGTGACCATTTTTAATGGCTACTTGGTGAGTCATCCTGATGGCTGCCTCATCACAGCACCAAGCCCTGGAGGGAGCAGGCCTTCAGCATCTAACATGCGAGGCTTCCAGAGCCAGGCACCACCAGCCTCAGCCTCCAGACCCGCTCCCGTGGCCTTTCTGCGGTTCGGTGTCCTGCTAACGCCGGGAGGGCCGGAGACTTGCCATGTGCCGCCTCGCCTGCATCCCTGCCTCTGTCAGCCCCCTCCTCCCCCTCCCTGATCATGGGGTGTGTGGGGAGCATTCAGTGCGGGTATAGTGATGGGCCTGAGCAGGAGCAGGGCCGAGTCTGGCTTTGCCTCCTGAGCACGTGATGTCACCACTCTAAGCCTCAGTTTTCTCATCTCTCAAGCGGGATCATGTGATCTATATCCTCCCCTCAGGGCTGTCAGGAGGACATAGAGGAACGTGTATGGGGCTTGGAGGATGGCTGGCCGGAAGCAGGGGTAGACACTTACTGCATGTGGGTTCTTGTGTCATTTTCCCCCTCTGTCTTAGGTACTGAACGTGGAAAGGAACCAACTGACATACCTCCCACGCTCCATCGGGAGCCTGATCCAGCTGCAGACCCTCAATGTGAAGGGTAGGAGGCCTGGGAGCTCCGTTCATGTGCCCTTGGTCAGCCTGGACTGTCCCAGAGCCGGCTCCTCCTGGGAAAGCAGCCAGGCTCAGGGTGGCCCTTATAAATTGGATTGACCTCCTGATAAGTCAGCCTGTCTCCATGGTAACCAGAGGCAGGGCCAATGGAGGGTTCCTGCCCCTCCTTGGAGCCAGGGACTTGTGTGCAGACAGTGGTGACAGTTCGGCCTCCAAGCTGGGTCACTGGAATGTGTAACGGAGCAGTGGGCTGGCAGGCGAGGGCCATTCAGAAGCCCCAGCAGGGACTTGCACTTCCACGTCCAGCCATGGGGCAAACCATGACGAGCCCCTGAGGTGTGGAAAGGGAGCAAGTGCTCTCCCCGCCAACAGGTGAGGAGAGTGAGGCACAAAGAGCAGTGACGTGCTCGAGACCCCAGCAGAGCCACTGTCATCAGGTGCCTCCAGCTGTTTCATTCTTGTCCTTCAGCACTTTCGGCACAGAATGCCTCAGTTTACCCATTTGTGGATCACTCCTGTATAAGGACCACATATACATAATCTCCTTGAACACCCCCCCCCCCCGCCACCTTGCAGACAGGAAAGCTGTGGCCCAGGGAAGAAAAGTCAGTTTTCCAAGCCCACTCAGCTAGCAGGTGGTGGGCGGGAGCCTGAACCCCAGGTCACGGAAACCCCGGGCCGCGCTCACCCATGTGGAGCCCGCCAGTTCCAGGACCTGGCACGAGCCCCAGGGTCAGAGGGAGGCACCCCTCTCCCACCATCCCCTGAGTCCTGGGGGGGCTGAGGTGGGGAGCTGGTGAAGGGGTTTGGGGTGCTGAGCTGGGCCACTGGGGTCTCTCCAGACAACAAGCTGAAGGAGCTTCCAGACACCCTGGGGGAACTGCGAAGCTTGCGCACTCTCAACATCAGTGAAAACGAGATTCAGAGGTTGCCTCAGATGCTAGCGCACGTCCGAACCCTTGAGGTAAGTAGGGCTCTGTCCGCGTCTGGTGTCCTCTACAGCCCGTCTCCCCTTCCTCCCCCCCGCTCCCCCGCTCGCTCCTGAACACTGGCTCTGAGAGGCGGCCGGAGTTGTGACATGACTTTGGCGGCCAAGACAAGGCAGGAAAACCTATTTCCAGAGTGAAGAGGTCGTGCCAGATTCTGATGGGGTGGCCACTTTATGAAAGATGGGGAATTTGAGTCAGACCTTGAAAGAGGAATCTGCTGGGGGTAAGGAGACGTGGCTAGGGGAGCATTCCTGGTGGGAACAGCACGAGGAAGGCGGGCTGTGGGACGCCTGGCTGTGTTAAGAGTGGGGGAGCTGCCGGGCAGGGGTCCCACAGCTAATACTAGCAGGGGAGGGGTTGGAAACAGGGCAGTCTGCACCCAGGCCACTGCTCTCACCCCGTGCCACTCACCTCTGGAACAGGAACGTGCTGCTCACGATGATGCAGTCTGGCCAAGCAGCCAGAACCCTCTACCTGCGAACCACCTCTGAAGCCAGCCGCTGTGCATCAGTGTGTATGGCAAGAGTGGGCGGTGACATGGAGACAGCACGGGGAGGGGCCTGGCCCAGGCGGCTGTCCTCCTGCGGTGCCGGCCAGCCCAAGCAAGGCCAGTGTAGGGAAAATGGAGCTGCTCAGGCTTTTTCCCAGCCTCCCGCCGCTGGCCTCTGTCCCCACCGCCTGCAGTCTTGTGCGCCTCTAGGTTGCACGGACACCCGGGTCCGAGAGGCGTAGGCGTGGGCGCAGGCCACGCACGCCTGTGATTATGGACACCTGTGCACATGTAAATGCAGGCACCTGGGCCTAGAAGCCAGGGCTAAAGGGGGCAGCACTGCTCTGAGGTTAGTCTGCTCAGTGCTGTCTCCCTGCTGGCTGTCTTGTCCCCTGATTCAGCATTAAAGGCCTATAAGGTGATACCAAAGCTCCAAAATTCTCTTTTCTTCTGCAAGAATCCCCAATGGACCTACCCAGCCTGGGGTGGTTGCAAAACAGACAGGAAGGCTGGGCCTCAATCCTGGCCAGGCTGGAGGGACAGGCCAACACACGGTTATACACTGTCCCTGCTGGGATGGAACTCGCAGGGACTGTGCTGTCCCAAGCTGTCATCACTGGCCGTGCGTGGCGATCAAGCACTTGAATGTGGCTGGTGTGACTAACAAACTGAAAGTTAATTTTATTGAATTTGAATGAATTTATGTTTAAGTAGCCACGTGTGCTTAGTGGCTGCCACAGTGGACACAGCTCACAGCAGTTCCTGCCTCTGAAGCGTGGTCCTGCCACGTTAAGACCCCTAGGAAGAGCCCTGGGGTAACTCACTTCCTTCCCATTCTTTGAAAAGACGTCTTCTGAGCGCCTACGTGGCACCAGGCAGAGGAAGTAGGAAGCACACACATGAGCAACTAAACCAGGGGGTTTCTGATCGTGTTGAGCGGGACAGTGAATGACACGTATAAAGAGGGGTCCCCTTGTGTCTGCAGACTCTGAGCCTCGACGCTGCGTCCATGGTCTACCCCCCGCAGGAGGTGTGTGGCGCCGGCACCGAGGCCATTCAGCAGTTCCTCTGCAAAGGTGAGCCAAGCGCCTGCCCTGTGTTGGCCGGGCTGGGGGGCAGCAGAGCCAGCGTCCCTGGGAAAGGAGAGGAAGCTGGGAGCTCTGGGCCTGGCAGGAGAAACAGGCAGCGCAGTCATCACACAAGCAAATACAGCTGTGGTTATGAGAGCCTCACGGGCAGCTGACTTAGGGCTGGGAGGGGCTCTCTGAGGCTTGGCTGTAACCTGACAGGTTATTAAGCCTTAGCAAGGGGAAAGGATGGTCCTGGCAGGGGGAGGCGTCTCCCAAAGGGCCTGCAGGGGTAGGGGAGTGGGACGCATCGTAGAGAGACACCGAGGGCCTGGGTGCCAGAGCCCAAGGAAGAGAGATGGAGGGCCAAGCTGGAGGGGGCACTGGCCCGGAAACAGGCGAGAGGTGTGGCCTCACTCGCTTTTCATGAAGTTGGCTCTGTCTGTAGGGAGGAAAAGGGATTGGAGGAAGCAAGAGTGGAGAATGGGAAACCAGTTACAATTGGGGTCACCCAGGAGAGAGACCCCAGTGGACTGGACCTGTAGTACCCAATAGTACCTGGGAAAAAAGAGTCAACATAATTTCAGTAAACAGGAAAATACAAATTAAAATTGCAAGAGATGCTTAAACCTAAATGGCCACTCAAATGGCCAAAATTAAACTGCCAACAACAAGAGTTAGCGAAGATGTGCAGCAACAGCCACACCCTGCATGTGGGAGTATACATGGAAATTCACGTTAGGCCATGATTGTCATTATCTACTCACGTTGAACTTTCAAACACCTTATGACCCATCAATTCCAGGCCCAGGTCTGTGCCCAAGAGACGTGCATATGTATGTACCCCAAAACCACATACAAAATGTTCATAATTTCACAATTCATAATCGCCAAAATGTTCAGCAGCAGAATGGAAAAATAAATTTTGTATACTTGTTTGTGAATACTACACAGCCATCAAAAAGAACCAGCTGCTACACACAACCCAGATGAGCCTCCCAGACAGGAGGGAGGGAAAGTAGCCGACACAAGGAACACACAGTGTCTGGGTAAGGGAGCAAACGAACCCACACTGATTCCTACGTAAGGGTGTGTCTCCTGTGTAAACAGCTCATCAACCTTATCGTCTCTGTGCTTTTCCATGTGTGTGTTATACTTCAGCAAAAAAGATAAGTTACACATCACATGCTAGCTAGCTAGGCCACACATCTGCCAAATTAGTCTTTGAGCAACACCCTTTGTTTTCTCTAAAAAAGATTTGCCAATTTTGTAGCATTTAGGTATGCAGAAGACATGGGGAACACCGTGGCGAGCATACATTTACCTGCTACACAGCTCATGAAACAGTCCTTCGATTCATTTAAACTACGCGGGTGCCTGTATATGTATGTAGAAATTGGGGGTTTGCTCTTTTAACAACATAGAAGATAAAAACTGGAAAAGATATCACATTGTGTGTTCTGTGCTTTGCCTTTTTCACTCAAGAACAGGTCTTGGGCCCTTGCCTGTCATTTGTATGGATCAGAATCCTTTTAAACTGCTGTATGGTATTCCACGTGGTGGAGCCCCACAGCTCTGTAGCCATGCCCTCCTGGAAGCATGGAGGGTATTTCTAGTTTTCTACTATTATGTTTGTTTTAGCCACACCTCTCTGGCACAGGCTGAGTGGTCGCCTAGGCCGGCAGCAGTGGAGTTAGCCAGTGAACTGGGCAAGCTCTGTCTTGTCCCTCTGAGGAGGTTACACTGGTTTTCACTCCTGGAGAGTATCAGGGAGGGCCTTCTCCCCCCCAACCCCCCCAGCCTGACTAACCTTTGGTGTTATCTTTCAAATCTGCTAACCTAATAGATAAACAAGAGGGCCTATTATTATTTTAATGTAACCTCCTTAATTATATAATTTTTTTTAAATGTCTGCTACCCATTTCCAGTATTTCTTGTGAATCATCTATTCATATCCTGGGGAGACAAATCAAAATCTAAAACTGTACCCCAAGAAGGAGACCATCCTCAGAAGATGAGTTACCACCTGGAAGGAGATAGTTGCCACATATATTATAGACCAAGGTCATTAACTACAATATGTAAAGAGTGTCTATTAATCAAGAAGAAAAGGCAAACAACCCAATAGAAAATGGACAGAGTATGAACCCTTTCAAATTAGATAGAAGGAAATGATGCAGGGCCAGAGACAGAGGCAACGTGACTAGGAGCTCACCCAGGAAACCATGTTGAAACTGGGTCTTGGATCCAGGTTTCTGAACTAATCTCAGGCTTCTCCATCACCTGATCCTCACTTGGATGATTAAGAGGCATACAGTGATGCTTACTGAGAGCTTGACACCTTCCAGGCCCAGGGCTAGAACTGAGGAGCAACATGGAGGGCCCAGTCTAGGCCAGAGGGGAGCAGTGGACTGAGTTGGGGTGGGGCAGGGTGCAGGGGAGGAAGGACAAGGACTAGGGTAGCAGGAGCCGGCGTCTCCAGTGCCTCGATGCCTCCTCCCAGTTTGTGTGGGTCTCTCGCAGAGTCAGGGCTGGAATACTACCCTCCTTCTCAGTACCTGCTGCCAGTCCTGGAGCAAGATGGAGCCGAGAACTCCCGGGACAGCCCTGATGGGCCCACGGACAGGTTCTCCAGGGAGGAGGTAGAGTGGCAGGTAAGGCAACCTGCCTGCTGCCTGGGGGTGGGCAGTTTGCAGGGCCCCTGGGCACGGGGAGAATGGGAAGCCTGTGGATTCCTCCATCCAGCTGAATGCATTCAGACCAAGACGCTTAGCTCTTTCATAAGAGTTTTTGTTTGACCGTCACCTCCCCCTGAAGCCTTCCTGACGCTCCTCCCAGGCCAGGTCTCCTTGTATGTGTCCTCAAGAGCATCCCGTGTGTTTCCCTGTTAGTGCTTCTTGGGGCTGCGTCCCCAGAATTTGGAGAACTTTCTGTGCTGCCGAACCCAGTGTCCTCTGGAACCACCCAGCCCCTTTATCAATGCCCCCATTGTGGCAGTCCCCTCAGTGGCCGTCCCAGGGATGCTGGGCCCTGTGGGGGTGAGAACTCTGCCCACCTCCCCTTGACACTCTATTTTCCCTCCAGAACAGGTTCTCAGACTATGAGAAGAGGAAGGTAAGAAAATGCCTTTTTCCTGTTACTTTTCTTCTCATTAAAGGTGTCAACTATTCATAAACAATGGGAGGAAGCAAGTTCTTCCCTCCTCTAAATTAGAGGGTCAAGTAGTTTGCTCCCTTCTGTCCATCACCCCCCACACCCTCGGCGGGCGTTCCGTCCCACCGACAGATGATATCAAGGTCGAGCCTGACCGCAGGCTTCAACCTCTGCAGTGAACAGCCCGTTTATTCTGTCTGGGCCTTGGGGGGGCGAGGGGGTGCTCAGCGGTAAGACCTCAGCCTGTGCTATTGAGTAGAGGGCGGACTCACCCTGCTCCCAAGCCCGAGTGCCCACAACCTGAGCCAAGAACTACCAAGAGCCACATTCTTGCAGGAACAGAAGATGCTGGAGAAACTGGAGTTTGAGCGCCGCCTGGAGCTGGGGCAGCGAGAGCATGCACAGCTCCTGCAGCAGAGCAACAGCCAGAAGGACGAGATCCTCCAGACAGTCAAGGAGGTTTGTGAGCAGCAAGTGGGGTCAGGCTGGTCTGCACATCCCTGGCCCGGGGCCGCTGGGCTTGGGTTGAAGCCCGTCTGGTGTGGGAAGGCAGTGGAACAAGCCAGTCCCTCCTGTCCTTCAGGACCTGCGGGCCTCACACCGTGGACACGCTGAGGCCTGGCCAGGGGAGGACCTGGTTCAAGGTCCCACAGAAAGGGCTGGCGGGCCTGGGACAGGAAACCCGGTCTCCAGTCCCCAGCCTGGTGTCCCTTGTCGCCCTTCCGCTTGGGAGGGGGCCCCAGCCGGCTGAGCAGCCCTCTGTCCTGTCGCAGGAGCAGTCTCGGCTGGAGCAGGGCCTGAGCGAGCACCAGCGCCACCTCGACGCAGAGCGCCAGCGGCTGCAAGAGCAGCTGAGGCAGACGGAGCAGAGCATCTCCCTTCGGATCCAGAAGCTCCTGCAGGAGAACCAGAGGTCAGGCTTCTGTCCTCCCAGCCCCCAGCTAGGGGGTTTCCCCATGATAACCTCTGAGGAGCCCCAGATGGAGGTGTGGTTCTCCCTCCCTCCTAAGGCTTCCATCATTAGGATCCCACCCTGGTGCTTCATGTTTACCAGCTCGAAGAAGGAAGAATCTGATCTGGGCACGACCGGGTCTGTTCCCGGCCAGGGACTGCTGCTGACTGGCCTCCCGACTTTCCCAGCTATAACATGTGGCTTTAACAAGATAATTGGGCTCACATCTTGCTCCAGTATTTTGGGTTCCAAGGGCCTCGTGCACTGAGGCCAGCCATCCACCCTTTACCACTCCTGTGCAAGGCGGGCGTTGCTAAGGGCAGGTCTTGTTGGCTGGGGAGAAAGGTGGCCAGACAGATATCTCAGGAAGCCTGAGGAGGGCTAGTTAGGGGGTCCTGCGGAGAGATTCCAGAAGCAGGCTGTAGGCTAACTAACCCTGTTGCCTCCAGGCTCCCTCTTCCTGGCCTCTGAATCCCTTGCTCCTCCACATGCGGTCCAGCAGCCCCAGCGCCCCAGGCATGGTGCTGTCACCACCCAGGGGGTCCCAGAAAGCTCTGTCTGTGGGAGTTCCCTATGTACGTGTCCTCAGTCATCCTAGAAAAACTCCACGGAGGTTTTCTGTGGTCTTTATGCCCCTGTCTCCGGTGGGGAGATGAGCTTGGAGAGGGAGAGTCACTGGCCTGAGAGCCAGAGTCCCTAGTGGTGGGGCTAAGCTCCCCAAGCCCCAGCACCCCCTCTGTGCCACTGTGCCACTGGGAGTCAGCTGGGAGGAGAGGCTGACTGCGGGCGGGGCCACTTGTGCTTTTCTCCACAGGCAGAAGAAAAGCTCAGAGATCTTGAAGTCGCTGGAGAATGAAAGGTAAGGCCTCTGCTCGGGCGCTTTTGAGCAAGTCCGGGGTGTGCGGCCTGGGAGAGGGGTCCTGCGAGTCTCAGGGCTGATGCCCGCAGGCCCCTAAGCTGAGGAGGAGCGTCACGATTCGCTTGCTTAGGGAGGAGAGGGTTAGAACCTCTGCCTGCAAGTTGGTTAAAACACTTAAAACTCCTGAGGGAAAACTCAGACCTGAATAAGAGTGTGAGTAGAACGTACAGCTGTATTTCTAGTCTAAAAAATCAGGAGGAAAAAAAATGTACATTTGTGTCCACCTCAAGGTACTAATGGGACACCCTCCTGGTTCCCAGGAATCCCAAAATGGCCGCATGGACTCTGCTGGCCTCCTGGTGAGAGCCTCCCCTCCTGCAGTGGACCCGGCTGCTAGGGCCCGGCTGCCTGAGCCGTCCTGCCCAGGCTGTGGGCGGCACATGGTCCATCCAGCACACCGAAGAGCTCCCTCTGTGCCTGAGCCAGGCTCAGAATCCAGTGATCCCCAGCTAGGCCATCCCCCAAGCAGCCGGTGCTGCTGCCAAGGTCACAGCTGCAGAAACGCTAAAGGATTCTGTCCCCTCCCGGCCACCGCCGCCAGTGTGGGGTGGGAAAGTGCTCACACACGTAGCGTGCACAGGCACGCGTGCAAGTTCCACTTTTACTTTTTGCTTCTTAGGTCACGGAGGTAGTTCCATTACTGAAACCTCATTATTTGTAACAGCTATAGAATATTCCACTATGTGTTTATATCATAATTAATTTTTTTAATTAGCTCTCTGTTGGTGAACATCTAAGTGGTTCCCAGTGCTTCGTGATTACAAATGTTACCGTGAACATCTTCTAAATACGCCCTTAGGCGTGTATGTGAATGTTTTTGAGGGAAATAGTCGAAGGACATTTTGACACAGGGATTGTTGCCAAATTGCCTTCCAAAAATATTTTGCCAGTTTATGCTTCTCTCAACAGTATATGACCGTGCCCGTTTCTCTACCTGCATTGCCATCACCAGCACTTACAGGTTTCCCTGATCTCAACCGTTCTGATAGATGAAGAGAAGCTTTGGCTTTCTTTAGTTATCTGTGATGTTAAAAGTCTTTCCATGTGTTTTTTGGTCACTTATATTTAAGCCTCAGTGAGTTGACTGCATCCTTAGCCCATTTTCCTAATGAGCATAAAGAGAATGTTCATCTTTTTGTACAAAAAACCTCCTAACTACTAGGCCAAAGGTTAACAGGGCCCCAGAGGAGGTGCATGATGCAGCAGGCATTCAGGGAGCATGTATGGGTTGGCACATCAGGGAGGGCTTCCTGAGGGAGGGCATTCATCTGATGGGCTTCCCTATTGGAAATGTTAGGCTGCTGAATACATAGTTGGATTTTTTTCTAGAATAAGAATGGAACAGTTAATGTCCATAACCCAAGAGGAGACAGAGAACCTGCGGCGCCGTGAGATTGCCTGTGAGTCTGGGGGAGGGGCCGACTGAGCACAGGGGTGTGCAGCCCTCTGTCTGCTGGTCACCTGTAACGGGCACTGACTGTTACCCTGGAGAGGGGCAGCAAAGCCCAGCCATGGAGCATGGGTTCTGGGGTCAGGCTGGACCTGGATTCAGAATCCCAGCTCAGACACGAGCTGCAGAACCTTAGTGGCATTCTCAGTCTAATTTCAGAGCTTCCGCTTTCTTGTCTATAAAAGGTCGTTAACTACCTCACTGGGTCATTAGGAGGGTCACATGACACAGTGGCTGGCACACAGCGGGGGTGTCACAAAGCCTGGCTATCAGGTTTTCTGTGCTCAAGAGCCTTGGGGCCCCTCCCGTGTTCGTAGGTGGTCTCTCCCACCTGCCCACCCCAGGAGTGGTCCTGGGCTCCTGGCCCACACTCAGGAGAGAGGCCTCACCACCTGATCCCGAAAACATCCTCATTTAAATGAAGGACAAGTCTTTTGGATGGGTGGCTCCCTTTGTCAGAGGCTGGGGAGCATCCTGGGTGCCTTGGCCGGGGCACCCTGCACCCCGGCCTGTGCACTGCACTTGCACACCGGATTTGTCACTGCTGCCTGCCTAGGGGCTGCCTGGCTAATGCCCCATGTTAAAGGTCATGATCGTTCATCATTTATGAAAAGAAAAATGCATTTGTATCTCAGAAGGCTGTTTGTCAAATTAACTGATTAGGAATGGGGGTCAGTGCCGGGGACTTTTGCTTTTCAAACTTCCTGTTGCTTAACTTTTTTAAAATGAGTGTGTAGTTTTCTTTTTCTGTAAACTGAGACTGAGTTGTAGCACATGGATCCAGAATCATCAGTCTGTAAAGGGGACTTCCCTTTTCTTCGATCTTTAGAAATCATGACTGTGACAGTTTTTACAAAGTTTATTTTTGGGACTGCCCTTCTCAGTGGCCGACTGTCCACCTAGTCAGTCTAGGTTGACTTGGGCCAAATAGAGCAAACACCAGTTGTTTCTGAGAGGCCCCGGCCTGCCACATCACCCAGGTGTCCTCGTGCTTCTGGGCGTGAAGTGAGCACCCACTGCTGATCCCAAAACGTGGCAGGTGGCATGGAAAGTGTGATACCATTTTGTTGTTGTTGTTTGAAAAATGCAAGACTTAAAATTTACCATTTGACCCCGGTTAATGGTGCAGTTCCGAGGCATTAAGTACTTTCACTTCATTGTACAGCCATCCCCAGTGCTGGTTCATCTTCCCAAACTGCAGCTCTGGCCCCTTTAGACAAGAATCTCCCTTTCTCCCTCCTCAGCCCCTGCAGAGTCCCCACAAATCCAACCATTCCAGGTAGCCCAGAAAGTGGAGTCGTGCAGTGTTTGTCCTTTTGTTCTGGCTTATTTCAGCATAATGTCCTCAAGGTTTATTTATCCATGTTGTGGCCTATGTCAGTCTCCTTCCTTTTAAAGGCTAAATAATATTCCACTAGAAGAGTCCACTTGCCACATTTAGTTATTTTGTTTACCCAGTCATCTGGCAGTGGGCTCTCGGGTCATTGCCACCTTTTTGGCTGCTGTGAATAATATCGCATAAACGTGGGTGTACAAATAGCTGTTCAATTTTCTGCTTTTCATTCATTTTAATTTTTATATCCAGGAGGGTAACATGAGACAGTGGCTGTTATCCAGCACTACCAGAAGACTAGATATCAAAATAATATCTCTGCGTGACAAGGTCATGGAAGGTTTTGTGAGGATGCTGTTTGTTATGTTCTACAATTAGCCTTTCAAGCTTAAGTCACTGCTGTAGTTTAAAAGAGATTTTTTTAAGGCTATCATGTGGGTGACCAGATGAGGCCCCCGGGGAACAGCCCCTCTCATTCCCTACCCCCTGTTTCCTCAGCTGCTATGCAGCAGATGCTGACCGAGAGCTGTAAGAACCGGCTCATCCAGATGGCCTACGAGTCTCAGAGGCAGAACTTGGTCCAGCAGGCCTGTTCCAGGTAAGGTAAGGAAGAGGCTTCCCGAGCGAGGGAGTTGGAGGAATTGGCTCATGGTGAAAGGCGGGCACTGAGCTCCCCCACCAGGGTGCCCAGCCTGGGCCGTGCTGTGACTTTTCCATTGACCCCAGGAGTCTTTCTTGGACTGTGACAAGGCGACAGGAATCACTTCCGCTTCTCCCGCACTGCTGCTGTGCCAGGCACGCTGCCAAGAGCTGTGCCTTAGTGCCCTGTGCCTGTGCCTATTACCCCATTTTGCAGTCACAGTCAGGCCCAGAGAGTCAGTGCCTCGCTGGTGAAAGAGCAGCAGGTGCTGGTTGAACAAAGCTGGGCTGATTCCCAGGCGCCCCAGATAGAGAGGGGCCAGCAGCCCTGGCTGCCTGCGAGGTTCCTCCCCGCCAATGGCTCCGGCTTGCCCACAGCCTCACCTGTGTGCCCCTCCCACTGGTGCGACATGATGCTCAGCGTAGGGCCCGCTTCCCCTAGGGGCCGTGAAGTCTCTCTCCCTGGGCCTCAGTCTTCCCAGCAGAAAAGTGGGGCTAAATCCCAGCCCCTGCCCTCAAGCCGTCTTGGTGCAGGGCTCAGTGGTGTCCGTGAGCATCACACCTGCCACGCCAGGGCACGGTAAATAACGACTGCTGTTATGCAACGGACTGAAAACCAAGATTATACAAAGTGTGGACACAGATGAGACATGGGACTTGGATTTTGGATTTTTTACTAGTAGCACTAGACTTGTTCCCTGGACCGAGAGCAGACTCAGCCTGGGTGAGAGCTGGGCGGAGGGTGTGGTGCACACTCCTGGCCAGCGACTCCCCTGCGAGGGCAGGAGTGCCTGGTCAGCGCAGGTGCTTGGCAGAGGCCGGGAGCTGCTTCACGGAGATGCAGGGGGCACTCCAGTGTGGATGCCCCTCGCGGCTCTCGAGACCCTCAAGCTTCGCACCAGCCCTCCAGGGCCGTGGGATGCAGACAAGCTCCGTGCCAGTCCCAGGACATTGCCCCCAGCAGGATCTCCATTCATTCATAGCACTGAATGAAACAATGGTTTATGCCCATTCCTCCAAGGTGTCTGGCACGTAGTAGGTGCTCAGGAAATGTTCAGGTGAATGAGTCTGTGGTCTCTCTGGCAGCATGGCCGAAATGGATGAGCGGTTCCAGCAGATTCTGTCGTGGCAGCAGATGGACCAGAACAAAGCCATCAGCCAGATCCTGCAGGAGGTAAGCCCCTGGCCAGGGCGTGAGGGTGGGCCTGGGAGGGGTGCAGGGGCCCAGGGCCCAGTCCCGGAGAGCTGCAGTACCCAAAACACCAGGAGCTTAGAAATGTACGAGCCATTGGGAGGAGGGGGCGGGCGCTGCTCTGGACAGTGGTTTTCTGGTCTCTGAAACCTGGAGAAGCCCCTCTCCTTCCCTGGTGGGCACCGGCTTCATGCTGGGTGGGCCCGCATCCCACCTGGACTGAATTGGGGCAGGTGGTGACACCCCAAAACACGAGCTCTGAGAGCAACCTTCGGCTCCCCACTTCCAAACCCACTGCCCCGCTTCCAGCCCAGCTGGCGACATCCTTCTTTTATCCAGATGGTCTGGTCTTGGCTTCCACCCCAACCCCAGTGCCTGTCAGAGTCTCCTCCCACCCCCCCAACCCCCACCCCACCCCTGCTGCAGATGTCATCCTGCTGCTGCCCAGCCAGTTGTGCCTCCTCCCCTCTCCCTAACTCCAGTCTGCTTCTCCAAGGCAGTTGGCCCCGTGTTTGTGGGCTCGTCTGGGGAGGACACTACTTCTCAGAGTGCTGTCCGGCCTTTGGTTAAGGTGCGCTTGGAGCAGAACTGTCGGGTGCACCCTAGCGCCCGCCATCCGCGCCTGAGCCTCTCCTTCCTTGTCTGTGAAGTGGGGCATAACGGCACCCTCGTCATGGGGGCAGCGCTGTGCCTAGGGTCCAGCACGTAGTCAGCCTTAACAAGCCTCATGTTAAACAGGTACACAAGCGAGCGGAAAAGTTATTTTCTCTCCAAGAAACAGAAAGCCTTAGGTGAAGCGGCCCCGGCGCGGCTTCACGTGTGCCGCTGAGCCCACTGTCTGTTGCAGAGCGCCGTGCAGAAGGCTGCCTTCGAGGCGCTCCAGGTGAAGAAGGACCTGATGCACCGGCAGATCAGGAACCAGGTGAGTGCAGGGCCCTGTCCTGCCGGCTCGCAGAGAGGGCGCCAGGCAGCGGTTAGGGCGTGAGCCTGGTTCGGTGCCACTCTTGGGACTGCCCTTTCTTCCCGGGACCTGGGCCAAGGGCTGTTGGAAATGCCCAGCAAACGCCACCTGCTCTCATGATTTCTGACCGCTCTGGGCAGCGGGAGGCAGGGAAGGCATGGTCCTGACTGCTTGGGCAGCCTGGGCTGACCGTGAATCGGGCCTGACTCCCTCACTGGACCAAGCAGTCCCTCCAACCCCAGTGCCCCCACCAGCTGACCTGAGGTGCCGGGCACCTGCCCCCTGAGCAGGCAGGCTGAGGAATGGCCTCGGCCTGGAAGAGGGGCTGCTCTCCTGCTGGCCTCGCCCTGGCCTCTCTGGCCTCCGTCGGACGGGCCGTGTGTGCCTGGAGGCTCCCCCGGGTGAGGGGCCACAGCGGGCGGTGGCGGCTTGCAGGCTATGGGAACGCTCATCGCATCGTATTCAGCACCTTTGAATTCACATTTTGCATGGTTTTTTCCGTTTTTATTCTTTTCCTTTTTGGCCAAAACCAACTTACCTTTTTATTTCCCTCTTTCGTTTAATCCCACATCGCTGGACATGAAGCTCATTCCTCTGACCGGGGATTGGTAGTGTCACGACGCTAGGGTCAAGGTCATAGGGTTTACAGGCACTGGGTAGAGAAGTCACTGGCTGTGGGGTCTCACCCCCAGGGCCACTTGCTCCCAGTCACCCCGGAGGGTGTGCGCTGACCCCAGACACTCGACTACTTAGCGCCAGAGCTCACTTACCTGCTTTGTGTCCTTGGGCAAGTGACTTTACCTCTCTGACCCTCTGCTTCCTTGTTGGGGAAATGGAGGCAGCGCCACCTCCCCATAGCCAGAAGTGATGAAACGACGACGCAGGGTAAGCGCTCAGCCAGGCCCGGCACACAGGCGCTCAGAGATGAGCTGCTGCCGCTCTCGTTCTCAGTCACTTCCGTCCCCCTGCTGTCCCTGTGACAGCTGTTTAGAGGAAGCAAGAAAGTTGGACCAGTAAGAGGCTCAGTGAGAATCCACGTCCTGGAACAAACCTCCGAGGATAGTCCCTTCCTCACTCCACAAACCTTCACTCAGTGCCCGCCGAGCACCAGGCGTGGAGCTCAGCTCTAGGTCAACAGCAGGGACCAGGACAAGCTTGTCCACGCCGCCAACGCCCCCAGGACCATGAAATAACTAATCCTTTTGGAACCCCGCTGATGAGGTTTCCGAGGCTCACAGGCCCACTTCCTCCAGAGCCTCCCCCAGGAAAGGCTCTTAGACCCTCAGCCTTCAGAGAGCAGCAGCAGACGTGGACCGCGGCTGATGGCAGTAAACCCCCTGTCTCGTCTTCTGTTTAGATTAAGTTAATAGAAACTGAGTTATTGCAGCTGACACAGCTGGAGTTAAAGAGGAAATCCCTGGACACAGAGGCACTACAGGTATGTAGGGCTCCCTGGCCTGCCCTGCCCCCCCAGAACCCCATCTTCCGCCCCATCCACCAGTAGGCAGGCAGGTCTCCTCTGTGCTGGGAGCTGGGAGCCCAGCACCAGCCAAGGTTGGGGGGTGAGGCTGTTGCTAGGTAGGAGGGTCAGAGGAAGGGGGTCTCATTGCCAAGGCCAACATCTCCATCTCTGCCTTTTCTTTGTTTTGGGGCGGGGCCACCGCTGAGCTCCCTGTCTTTAAGCCATGCTTTTGGGGCGCTGGTTTGACTCATGGGCTGACATCCTCTGGGAAAGGAGCTTTCTTGGAATGCCAAGGATGTTTGGTGGAGAGGCCTGGCCCCTGCTCTGCCATGCCCTGTGGGCAGCAACTCTGTGAACCCCAGCCCGGTGTCCTGCACAGAGGCAGCAGGGACTAGTGGACAGTGTTTCCCACCACGAGTCTGGCCCCCGGGTTTGTCCCAGCACAGCCTTGCCGTGTGACCTAGGTGGGTGGAGGAGAAGGGGCGGCCCTTTCTCCTCCCTGGGACCTCAGTGTGCACCCTGGGGCTGGCTTTTGAGCAGAGCTCTGTCTGTCGCTGTCCCCGTGTCTGTTCTCAGCGGAGAAGTCTGACGTTGTCTCTGGGGCTCAGTGCAGTAAAACAGGCTTTCTGGAAGCCCCCAGGCCCACCACAGGCGCGCTGTGTGACCTCGGGCAGGCCATCGCCCCTCCTGGGCCTCCATTTCTCCCCTCCCTAAAATAGAAATCAATTTCCAGGCCCACCTTTGTGGGGGACCCAGCAGAGAGGGGGACCCAGCAGACGGAGCGCCTTTGTGAACCCAGAAATGGTCTTCAGGGATGAGGGCGGCAACTCAGACAAGAGGCAGCCAGGTCCCTGGTGGTGCCCTGGTCTTCTGCCATGAGAGCCTGCAGGGCTCCGGTTTGCATGTGCCTCCATCTGTGTAGAACTTTCCAGATGGGTGAGGGCTCACACACAGCCCTCTGTGCCGTTTGTCCCTGCCCACATGCTCTGGAGTGAGTGAGACCGATGTTGTGCCTGTGGCTTGTCATCTCCTTTGTCTGTTTCTTTCCATTCCACTGTCACCCGTCACTAGATCCCATGCCTGGCTCATCCCCGGGGAAGGGAGGTGCAGGCTGGGGAGAAGGGGGGAGGAGATGCCCGGCAGAGGGGCCCTCAGCTTTGTTCCCCAACTCTCAGCCTAGAGACCAGGGGCTGTGAATTGAACCAGGTCCCCAGTTGCCGGCAGTGAGAGGAGGTGGGGGGGTCCTGTCACAGCCCCAGGGTATGGCACTGGGTGTGGTCTTGTGTTGCAGGAGATGGTCGCAGAGCAGCGCTGGGCCCTCAGCAACCTGCTCCAGCAGCTGCTCAAAGACAAGAAGCAGCGGGAGGAAGAGCTCCGGGAAATCCTGGTGCGTGTCCACGGCGCCCGTGGGCCTGTGCTCCCCTGATGCACTCACCCTTCTCAGGAGCGCTGGCTGTTCAAGTAGATGTTGCTCGTCAGGGAACAATGGCGAGTGGGAAGGAAAGGTGTCTCACGGGGGAGAGCCGCGAAGCCGGGCTTCTGGCATGCGTTTCCCAAGGTTGCGGTGCACATCTACGCGCCTGCTAGACGTGAAGCCCCTTTAGAACCAGCCCATCTTCACCTGCTCCTTGCCTGTCTCTAAGATACGCCTGTGAGTTCCTCACAGCTGCGTTCGGACGGGCCAGCCGCCAGCCTCCCGCTGACATCCCCGCGACTTCCCCTTCTTCCTGTCCTGAGCGCGCCCCCGGCATTTTTGAGAACAGCTGTGAGTGCTGACACAGGGCCCACGTCCAGGAGACGAAAGCAGGGCTGGCCATTCGATGAGCGTTTGACAGCAGCGGCCCGGCCACCCCATTCCAGTGGCCTTTGTGACGCTGGCCAGACTGGATGAAGGGGCAGCATCAGCAGCGTGTTGCGAGTTGCCCGCTTTGTCAGGACAGCGAAGCCCACCCTGGAAGCCGAAGGCATCCTTAGACTCCTCACTCCCCCCCCCGCCCCCCGCACCTGGAGGAGAGACCTGAGCTTTGTGAGGGCAGGAGACACCTGCATGGTGCCTCGTTCTTCCCGCAGAGGTGCGAAGGTGCCCCCTGCAGTGTGGGCGGGCGCCTTGCCCCTGAGGCTGTCCTCAGGGGTGAACTGGGGTAGCTGCACCCCAGCCTGTCCCGTGTCCATAGTTTAATCATGAGACGAGTGGGTCAGAAAGGTCCTTTAAAATACCAAGTGCCAGCCACGTGCTCAGAGGAGCCGAAGTCACAGTCGTCACTGTCATTGTTTTTATTGATTGGGCTGTAACGCCCGCTTTGCTCTTGACAGGCGGAGTTAGAAGCCAAAAGCGAAACCAAGCAAGAAAATTACTGGCTGATTCAGTATCAGCGGCTTTTGAACCAGAAACCCTTGTCCTTGAGGCTGCAGGTGAGGGATCTTCTGGCGCTGAGGCTGTGCCCTGGGGGGCCTCCAGTTCCATTCTGCTCAGATTTCTGGTGACTCTAGGGTGCCAGGCCCTGGTGGGGAGAGAAATCCAAGAGGGCATGTTCATTCTGGCAGTGGAGAGCCAGCGTCTGTCCCTGCTGCTCAGCCCACATGGGGCCCAGCCCGCTCGGGCACCCCAGCTGCCCACGAGCCCCTGTGGGCCGGTCCTTCCTCACTCCCCCACACACACTCTTTAAAAATAATCGAGTCACTCCAGACACACCCTCGTGGCACTTTGCTTTCGTCTCTTAGCAGTCGTGACAGGTTCCCAGGTCCAGCCTGCAGAACGCTTCACCGTTTCCTGGCAGCTGCATGACCTTTAGCATCTGGACGAGCCTCCTGTGTTTAAAGAACCCCCTCTCGGTGATACCGATGTTGTTTACTATTTTCAAGTTTACAAACGGCAGCCATGAACGTCCCTGTGTGTGATCTCTACGCGGTAACACACACTTTTGTAGGAAAGATCCCAAGAGTGCGTTTCCTGTGTGACACACACTTGAGTCCTGTCTCCCTGTCCAAATAGCAGGCGCTTGCTGCTCTTCCCTCCCCGAGCGCTCAGCCTTCCGCGGGCCTGTCTTGCAGGAAGAAGGCATGGAGCGCCAGCTGGTGGCCCTCCTGGTGGAGCTGTCTGCTGAGCACTACCTGCCCATCTTCGCCCACCACCGCATCTCGCTGGACATGCTGAGCCGCATGAGCCCTGGGGACCTGGCCAAGGTGAGCCCCAGCTGCCCCTCAGGGCAGGTTGGAGCCTGACCTGACTCGCCTTTCATGCCGTTCTTGGTGAGATCTGCCATTAGCCAATCTCCAGGGTCACCTCACTTCCAGGTGGCCAGCACAGCCACCCCTTCCTCCCATAACCTTCCCTAAGCCTTCCTGGCTGTGCCCTGCCTGCTGTCTGGCTGAACAATGCAGGATGTATGTCCTCTTGACCCCGGAGTCACCCGCTGCTCAGCTTGGCTCCTCGAGGCCTCCTGGCCCCAGCCATGGCTTTGCAGATCTCCTAACGGCAGCTGCTGGTGGCCCGGCAGGTGCTGGCAAGAGCTGAGCTCTGCATCACCTTAGTTCAGTTACTCTTCACAGTAGGCCAGTCTCGACTTAGCTGGCACAGTCTCCCCACAGATGCCGGTGCCGGGCACTGTCTTAAGCACATCCCATGTACTAAGTCATTGAAGCCCCCACAGCCCAGGCGGGCAGGTGTGGTCATTGTCATCGTCTTCAGATGAGGAAATTGAGGCACAGCAAGGATATAACTTGCCCGAGGTCACACAGCAGAGCTAGGACTTGAGCCTAGGAGCCCAGGCTGTCTGTTCTAGAATTGGTGCTGTTCACTCGGTTCTGCTGCCTGCCCCTCAAAAGATGCAAAACTGGGGCTCAGAAGTGCTCACAGGTGCCCTGTGTGCACAGAGGCCCTGTGTGCTCCCCTAGCCCCACAAGCTTGATCGCCTGGGCTCTGGAGGCCGGCAGGCCGTGGTTCTAGCACACCCTTCTGTCACTCAGCTCAGCAGCCTCCCTCCTTCCCTATCTGATCACCTGCGCTGTGGCATGGGTCCTGACTGACAGGTCGTCGTGAGGTGCCGTGAGGTCACGCGGGTGAAGCTGTGTGTGGCCCCAGCACAAAGCAGGCATTTGCGAAACTGTTGCTGTGACTCGTGCTGTTTCTTTTGGGCCTCCGTTTCCCCACCACACTGACGTGGCCCAGGCTGAGGCGGTCACTTTCGCAGCTGTGCGGTTCTACTGCCTCAGGCTCACCCCAGAAGCCGAGAACCAGGCTGTCCTATGGGCCCTGGTGGGGGGGGGGGCAGCTTGAGCAGCAGGCTCCCGCCAACCTAGGCCGTAACCTGCTCTTCCTCGGGCTGCTGCAGGTGGGTGTCTCCGAGGCTGGCCTGCGGCACGAGATCCTGCGGAGAGTCCAGGAGCTGCTGGAGGCAGCCCGGCTGCGGCCAGGTACCAACACCAGGGCCTCTGAGGAGTGTGGTTGGGGCGGGGCGGTCACTGAGGTTTCAGGACTCCCTGCCGTGCTCCCTGCGGGCTCCTCCCCGCCTCGCGGGACATCTGCCTGTGGCTGAAGTCTGGGCTGCAGCTCGGGTCCTCCTGGCTGTGCCACCCTAGGGAAGGGCTCCTCTCAGCTCGCGCGTTTGCCAGCCCCTCTGTCTGCTCCCAGGAATCAGCACACATGGTCTGAAGTATAGAAGAGCCCTCCTTGGGGGTGGCTGGGGGACAGCCGTGGACGGTCTAGAGTGGTAACCACCTTTAAAAACAACCTTCAGGTGTTTTCTGATCATAAACATCCTACTTGTCCTTCAAGCCGTAGAATGAAGGGCAAACCTGACCCATGACTGGGATGGGCTCCGGGACGGAGAAGGGCTCACAGCAGCGGGGAAGCACGGTCTGGTGTGTCAGGGCTGCTCCAGATGTCCTGCCTCAGGGCAGTCCGGACCCCAGGGGTGGTGCTGGGTGTAGGGCACAGCAGTGGCCACACCGAGCTTGGGAGCTTCTCATTCCTCTCCCTGCTTGAGTCGCCCGATGGGTGTCCCGTCTCCAGGGTGACTGGGGAAAGAAGCTGGGAGCCAGCCCAGTCCAGCGCAGAGCCCCGCCCAGGAGCCCCGGGCCGTGGCTGTACCGTGTGGCCCCATGGCCTTGGGCAAGTGCGTCCCCCTTTGAACCTCAGATTTCTCATCACAGCCCTTGCAGGGTGGCTGTGACGTTTCTAGGGAGTGTGGGGGTCGGAACTCCCTGCCACCCTCTCCTGTTTTACTGATGGGGAGAATAAAGCTCAAAGAAATTGAGGGTATGTGGGCGAGCCTTCCCCTGGCTCTGAGATCAGTGAACCCCAAGTTTCATTGTTCACTGGGGCAGGCAGGACCAGGGAACTCCAGGAGTTGGGATCACTTGGGGGTGATCCTGGCTCAGTCCCTCCCTCTGGTCCCCACAGAGCTGCTGAAACCACCCAAGGATGAGGTCCTCGGGGACCTGGAATCCCCCACTGCCCCCGAAGAGCTGCCTGGGTCAGTGAGGCCATCGGCGCCCCCTGCAGAGCTGGAGGCGCAGGCCTCGGAATGTGTGGTGTGCCTGGAGAGGGAGGTAAGCGCGCAGCAGCGACCCCCCAGCCCCCCCTCCCCGAGGGCATGCGTGTTGTTTGTAAACACGTTTCCCCAGTTGTACAAGAATATCGTACAACTTCAGAAATCCTGGGAAATTCAGGAAAGCAAAAAAGGCAGGCGGGGAGAATGCCCCGCGCCCGGGGCCCAAGCGTGAGCAACGCCGACCTCCTCTCGGACCCTCGTTTTGAAGAGGGTCTTTCCCTCCTACATGCCAAAAAAAGACTCAGATACATTGAGGAAAATATCCCAAGCCATTAAACATCAACAACACGGTTTTCTCTAAAGAGGATTTTTAAAACCCATCTTTGTAAAAAACTTCCAAAATGAACGCTCCTTTCAAAAGGGAAGCGACATGGTATATAAAGTAAACGCCCTCCCCGCCTCGCGCTGCAGCTGATGCCCCACGGTCTCTCCTGGACCCGGAGGTGCCCTGACGTGGGGGGCCCTTGGTCCTGGATTTATCCAGACCCCGGCTTTGGCCCCCCCCCCCCCCCCGCCGCGGCGCCCCGTGTCCTGCTCTTGCAAACAGCCGCGAGCCGCGTCCAGCACGTCGACTCGGAAGGAGCGCGCAGGGGCGCTTCCGGGCTTCTGAGCCACACGCAGGGTCATTTCTAGACTAAGGGGCTGGGCGCAGGCCCAGGCACCCCAAAAATCAGGAACAACCTACACAGCCAGCAGGGCTGGTTAGCTCGGCTGCGGCCTCCTGCCCAGAGGCCCCGGCTGCTGGCCTGGGAGAGGGGCCGTGGAGAGTGGGAGCGGCGGGCAAGGCCGGCGAGCGGCACGACATCGTAGGGTGCAGCCCCAGGTTTATTTAAGGAAGAAGGGGTGGGCGTAGGGGTGTGTTCAGATTCCTCACGAGATGTAGAGAAGCACTCCAAGTGCTGTAGAAGCAGGACTAGCCTCTCGCCGCGGGGGGTGGGTTTCTGGGGCCCCCGGGTGCTCGGCCGGAGCGCGGGATCCGGCTGTCAGGGTACAGCGCGAGGGCCTGCGCTGGGACCCCGCCCCACCTCCGCTCTCTCCCCAGGCCCAGATGATCTTCCTCAACTGCGGCCATGTCTGCTGCTGCCAGCAGTGCTGCCAGCCCCTGCGCACCTGCCCGCTGTGCCGCCAGGACATTGCCCAGCGCCTCCGGATCTTCCACAGCAGCTGAGCCGGCTACACGCCCCTGCCGCCTGCCAGGGCTTCCGCTCCCCCACTCTGGCCAGACTCAGACGCCCTGTCCTGGACCTGCCCCCCAACCTGGGAGGCGCCCCACCACCCTCCATCTGCAGGCGGGGCGGGGCTGGCGGGGCGGGGCCGAGGCTGGTCTGGATATTGTGAAGGAAGAGAGAGGACCCTCAGGTCAGGAGGACGGGTCTGGGAGAGGAGAGGCGGCAGTGCCGCCAGAGGACAGAGGACCCGGTGTCCTGGCCAGTGTGGCTCTGCCACTTGCCAGCTGTCTGACTGGGGGATGGTGGGAGTTGCAGGGGGCCCCTGGCCAAGGGGAGGTGGGTCCACAGTGGAACAAGGGTGCAGCTGCAGGGCTGCTGTGCACTGTCCAGGGACGTGTCCAGTGCAGACCTGGTGCCCCAAGCACCGCTGGCCCCTTCTCACTTCCTCCTGCTCCCCAGGGCACTGGACCCCTCCTCTCTGGAACTTGTACCTCCTCCCCCCAGGTAGCTCAAGGGAGGGCAGGTGACGGGCTTTGCAGACTCAGCGCAGGATTGTCAATAAAGGCACCTCCAGCCTGCTCCCCCCGGGTCATCACTGGCTCCCCACGAGCCTGGGGAGGGGTGAGAAGAGAGCTTGGGGCCCGGCAGGGGTTGGAGCCCGAACGCCGGGCGCAGGCTGTCCCTCGCTCGGTTCCAGGAGCAGCGCGCACCTGCGCTTGCTGTGGAGCACATTCATCGTGCACTTCCCGGCAGGTGGTTATAAGCCAAGGACAGCCTTCCCTTTGGGCTGGAGGCAGGCCTGGCTCCCCTGGCTCACCCACCCCGGCCAGCCTCCCCGCCTCCGTGTGCTGGGACGTGGAGGCCGCCTTCGGGCCAGTGGCCGCCAGGGGGCGCTGAGTGCTCACTGCTTTCTCTACCCCATGGGGACCCGTGGTCTTGCTGGGTGAACCAGGACAGGGTGTGGCTCCACTTTCTGAGCAGCAACTGCAGCCTCCGCCACGATGATCTCTTCCCCTGGGGAACCTGTGATGCACCCCCCGCCCCACACTCCCTCCTGGGTTCAGCTTGGCCAGGAATGGAAAGAGGCGGCGGCCACCTCCCAGGGCACAGCGCTTAGGTTCTTGGAATCTTCTCTAGGCCTGGGGGAAAGCTTTTCTGATCCTGGCTCACAGACAAGGGGCCTGAGCTTGAGTTTAGTCACGTCAAGGACAGCAAGTCTGCAGTAGAATCCCTGGCCTTGGCCCCCACGCCCCCTCCTAGGCCTCAGCTCAACCCTTGCTGACAAGCTCTTGGCCACCGGCCATGTGGACAGGCTGGCACCAGGAGAGCCGCCGTCCCCCAGACTGGCCGCCAGTCTCCCAGGAGGGACATCATGGATGTTAGCGCGGATGGGGAAAGCCGTCCCCGCCAGCTGTGGGAGGGGTGTCTGTGCCCCATAACCTCAGCCGAGGTTCCTACCTCCTGCGCCTGTTTACACCGTGGTGACAGGGTGGCGATGGGGGCACCCGGCTCCTGGGCCTGCAGCCCACGAGGTACACGCCCCCTGGACACGAGCTGTGGGAGCCCTGAAGAGCCGCCATGAGCCCTTGGCCCACCCCCACTGCGGGCTCCCAGGACCAAGTGGCCTTAAAGTCGCTGACAAATCTTTTGGCCTCACGGTCCCCAAGGCTGCCTGAGGACCACCCTGCATGGACCCCCTGAGCAACCCACCTGAGCTGCCATCAGGTCGGTCACCTGTGCACTCTGCGCCCCTTTTCTCTGAACCTCAGTTTCCTCCTCTGTAAAGTGGAATAGGAATTCAGCTTGCACCGGAGGTACCAGCCAGGCCATGAGCTCCGAAAGCCAAGGTGCGGGTGCTCCTGGACGTGGCCTCTGTCCAGATCTCCTCCTGCCACGGCCTGCCCCCCCACACACATAGACACAGGCCACTGGCCTTAAATAAAGCATTTATTGATTAGTAGTAGAAGCTTAAACAGTTTGCATAATATTTTCAATACAATATCTGGGAACGATGGTTGAAAACCCCAAAGGCACTAGAGTCTTAAGACAGAATGTGTCTGCAGAAGAGCTTACTGATGAAATTGAGATCAGGGCTGGGGGCCTGGAGAGGGGGGTCCCTGAGCACCAGCCACATGTCCTGTGGGTCCCAGGCCCCAGGAAAGGGACTGGGGAACAGAGGACATGGGGCTGGAGAGGAGCCCCCGCTGAGGACCCTTATGGAGTTGGTCTCTGCCCTGCCCTCCCTCCCCTCCAAGCAGCAGGGGAGGGTGTCTGGGGAAAGTTCCAGGCCCTGGGACAGGGCCTCCAGGCTAGAATGCCTGGGCTTCACCCTCACTCCCGGGACAAGGGGCTAAGGAAGGAGGACAGCTGGCCCCAAGGGATTCATGAGGACATTAAAAAGGGGCCTGGAGTTTTCAGGGTGAGGCGACTCAGGCAGCAGGGGCCAAGCCACAGCCTGACCCTCTATCCTCAGAGTAGCCCCAGCGATGTCTCGGGAGCCATGCCCAGTTCCCTCGGCGCTCGCACCTAGGAGGTGGCCCAGCAGGCAGGATCCATGCCCTCTAGCCCTGCCTCTGACAGTGTGCCACCCCCCAGCCCCAGCCCATGGCATGGCGCGTGTGGACGCAAGAGGGAGGGGAGCAAGAGGCCCGGGGCTGGAGGGTGGGGCCAGTGGAGGCAAAGGCCTCACCTGGGCTCCAGCAGCCTCCCTCCCGAGCTTGCTTCCTCCTTGTCGCCTCCTCTCCCCGGACCAGCACATTCCAGGCAGTTCTCATGCCACCCCCAGGGCCCCAGGGCCCCGGCTTACCACGCCCCCCACCCCCCCTTCCCCAGCCCGGCTGCAGTCTGAAGACCCTCCCTGCACCTCCCTTTGCCCACACGGGGAAAGCGGAGCTGGCCTCTGGGGCCCCGTGGGAGGAGCAGGATGGGGAACAGGACCCCAAGTTGGGCCTCAACACTCCACTCCCCGGGGCTGATGAGCCCCTTGGTGGGGGAGAGGGCTGGCTCCCGGCTCCCCTCACAGCCAACACGGCTTCCCCTCCCTCCCTCCCGCCCTCCAGGATGCAAGGCTGGCGAGGGAAACAGGCCACGGGGAAGGGCAGGCGGGGACCCGGGAGCTCAGCCCCCGCAGCCGTGCCCGGCCCCGGCACAGGGAGGAAGCCCAAGGTCACCCCACAGAAGAGAAAACAGGGAGCAAAACAGGGTGACCGAACCCAGTAAAGTGACTCCGGTGGGCCTGTCCCAGCCCAGGGTCCGCAGCAGCCCTGCCGCCTCCGGGGAAGGCACCGAGGTGGTGCCCGCGCCCGGAGCCCGCTGGGCCAGTGCCTCGGAGGGCGGGACCCGCGCGCCGTGTCCGGCCGGGCTCAGGGTCAGCCTAGAACTCAGTCTGCACCCCGGCACTGTCCTCGGTGGTAGTGTGGATGGCGGGGCGCTCGCCGGGGCTGGACACCTGCTCCCCGGTCTCCTGGTCGCTGGGCTTGGGAGGCTCAAGGTCCACCGCCTTCCCAGGTGGGAGGTGCCGGGGGGGCGAGGCAGGCGGCGAGGAGGCCTCAGGGACGGCCTCGGGCAGGGCACCCTCCTGGGCGGGGGTCCCGTTGAGCAGGGGGCCGGCCGGCGGCGGGGGGCTCTCGGCCCGCAGATCCCGGGCCAGCAGGCCGCGGAGCTCGGCGACGCTGTCCGGGGACACAGGTGACGGCGGCTCGGGGCCCGCCTCGAAGGGCAGCCCCGCCTCCTCGTCCTGGACCACAGACACCACCTGCTTGGCCCGCCGCCGCTTTTCCGAGAGGGCGGTGGCTTCCGGGGAGCTGGGGCTATCCCCGCGGTCGCCGGCGCCGCTGTACTCCTCGCCCCAGTCGATGGGGGCGCCCTCGGCCAGCAGGTGCAGGTTGGGGTCGCTGTTGTGCATGACCATGCTGTCCCGGTAGAGGTTGTGCTTCCTCTGCACGGCGGCCTCCTTCACCGCTGCGGGGTCAGGGGGCGGGGTCAGGCCACGGCCCCCCGATTCCAGTCCTCCCGAGCCCTGGCCAGCGACCACCGCGTCCCTTGTCTGCGGCTCCCGCCATGCCAAGGACCCGCGAAGACGCGCAGGCAGGCCCGGGGCCGCCTTCCTGGTCCGCACGGCCAGCCGCAGGCCTGACCCAGCCCCCGGGCGGAAGTCCGGCCTCTTCCTTGCAGCCCCGCTAACCCCACCAGGAAGGCCGCCGGGCCGCCCCTCCACCGCCGCCTGGCAGCGAGACCCCGGGCCCTCCCAGCCCAGGCGGGGCGCACGCACCCTGCAGGATGTCCTTCATGACCGTCTGCAGCACCACCTCCTCGTACGTGTTCTCCACCAGGATGAACCTGGCAAAGTCCTCGAAGATCAGCTCCTGGAACCGCGGCAGCTCCTGCCCGGGTGAGGGGACGGGGGTGGGGGGGCAGTCAGGGGTGGTCAGGGCCGGCAGGCGGGCGGGGAGCGGGCGCGGGCACCCTGTCCACCGGGCAGAGCGTGAGGCCCTGGGGCCGGGGCCAGGCGGGGGCGCTGGGGCCAGGTGCGCTCACCGACTTGCAGGTGGGGGCGAGCTTCTTGAGCAGGAAGGGGATGGTGATCTGCAGCAGGGCCTCGCGGAAGAAGCGCTTCCGCACCGAGCTGCTGTCGTAGTCGTACTTCTGCGGGGAGAGGACGGGGGTCTCTGCTCAGTGGGCCACCACCCCCGCGGCAGGACGCAGGCCAGTGCTCTGGCCTGAGCCTCAGCGCCCTCTCGCCGGGGAGCAGCCAGAGCCGCGGGCGCGGGCCTCACCTTCAGCACCCGCTCCAGGATGCGCTGGATGGACTTGCACAGCTCCTCCTTGGTGGGCCCCTTCCCCAGCTCCTGGTGCAGGAGGGTCTCGAAGGTGTACACGGCGTTGTCCATTTGCTGCAGGGCACAGCGGGGGGCGCGTGAGGGGCCTGGAGTGTCGCACGCGCCTCCGCCAGGCCCGAGAGTCGCCCACCCAGGCCTGCCAGGCGGAGCGAGCAGGGCTGCCCGTGGGCCGGCTCCCACGTCCACTGTCACGCTTGTACTGGCTGTCGCGTGAGGCTTGGGGTGGGCACCAGGGCCAGGAAAGAGGGGTCAGAGGTCCTGGACCCTGCGGGCCGGGGTCTGGGGAGCAAGGAGGGGGTCCCAAGGAAGGTGAACAGCGGGACGGGGGCTCCACGTAGCTGGGAGAGCAGGCTTGGGCTGAGCAGCTGCCGCGTGGCACCTGTGGAAGGCCCAGGAGACGAGGACGAACAGGGGTGCAGGTGAGCAGGGGTGTGGGGTACAGGTGAGGGGTGAGGGTGCAGGGTGAGCAGGGTGTAAGGTCAACAGGTCGGGGTGTGCCGGAGTAAGCAGGGATGGAGGGTGAGCAGAGGCCCGGGACAAAGGTCAGTAGTGCGTGGGGTCCAGGGCTGCAGCTCGGGCCCACCTCACGCATGTGGATCTGGGCCCGCTGCTTGAACACGGACGTGCTGGACACATCGAAGCGCTGCTGCAGCCCGTCGAGCCGCAGCGGCTCCATCTTCTCGTAGCAGCTCTGCATCTTGAGGGGGTGGAACGCCAGCTGGGACAGCTTCTCCATGTACTGCAGGGAGGAGGGGCGCGTACTGAGCTCCGTGTACTGAGCTGGGGCGCCTGAGCGGGGAGCAGCCACCGGTGCTGGGAGAGGCGCTCCCGTCCCTCCTGGGGTGCTGGGTCCCCTCGAGCAGGCCCCTCATAGTTTTCACGATCCCTAAGGTCCTTTCAGGCTCTCAAACTCTATGACTGTGGTCTGTGAACTCCCCCATGGGGGGTATGGAAGTGGAGGCTGAGATTTTAGGACCTGACAGCTGTGGGACTCCAGGCCCAGGGTCTGTGTGAGGATAGTCCACCCCAAAAATCAAACAACTGAGGACAAGCGAGAGAGGCTGTCCCCATTTGTGGGAGCATGAACTGGCACGTGTGTGCTTAACTCTGCCTTGATAATCACTCACACCCGTAGCCCGCCTGGCCCTGCTCCCCTGCCCTGCTCCCTCGGCTCTTCACTAGGCCTGCATCCCACCCCTCTCCTCTGACTGCTGCCCCCAGCAGCACAGCCAGCAGCTTCCGCCCCGTGCCCTTGGCCTCCAGCAGCCCCTCTGTTTAAAGGCTGGAGGGCGCAACAGCGAGGACTGATGTGGGGGTGAGACCCGGCCCAGGCCCAGCCAGGACGCGGCCCTCCGGCCTCACCTCGCCCAGCTTGTCAATGCCGCCTTCGTTGATGACGTTCAGGTTCATGTCAGTGACCTCCTTGAAAAAGACGTCCCGCACCTCGGTGAAGCCCTGGCTGGTGGGCACCATCAGGGCCTCCAGGATGGACGGGATGTAGGGCTGGACGTGGTTCCGGACACACACCTCCGCCTTGGGGAGGATGAAGGCTGTGCCCACAGGGAGCTGGTTAGCGCGTGGCACCCAGGAGAGGCCCCCAGTCACCCCAGAAACCCGCTGAGAGGCGCGCTGCCGCGTCAGTTCTTAAAGCAAACCACCGGTGGCAACGTCAGCAAACCGAGTGATTCTAGAGAAACAGTCAATAAGGGAAGATATCTGCACAGCAAAAATAACAGGGCATTCCAAGACTAGACCCCAATATTTCTGAAACTCTGATGGCAAGAAATTAGGAAAACTACTCGTCCAAAGGCTTAAAACAGAAAAAACACAAGAATTACTTGAGTAGAATCAGGGAGGCCTGGGTTTTACAAGCACCGCACCGGCTCCTGCCTGATGGCGTGGCTGGGTCAGCGCGCCTGCCCTGCAGCGGGCAGACGCTGCCTGGACATGCCGGCCAGGCGTTCCACCCAGGGGTTTCGATGTCCCTCCCTCTGCTTGTTTGCTCCACAAAATAAATGCCCGCTGTCTCGCATTTATTTGGAATCCAGCTGGTAGGGAAGAACAGTTGGAATCCAGCTGGTAGGGAAGAACCCTCGGGTGCCGACGCCTCTGACAAGGGCACTCGGCCAGCGTGTGAGGAGTGACGGCCAGCCGAGGGCTCCCATCGGGCTGGGCACAGAAGGGAGCACAGACGACCCAAGAGGTCAGACTTGCTGGAAAGAATCGTCAGTGACAAGGACCCTGGGAAAACCCGTGAGCAGAGGCGGGCGCCTGCCGGACATGAGAGTTGCGAGAGCTGGGCTGGCAGAAAGAACAGCCACAACACAGCCCGCAGGGGCTGGAAGAACAATGGCTCAGAGACGATCGCCATGTTTTAAAATGATCAGTGGGTCCAGTTGCAGCTGTGAAATGGATCCATAAAACACACAGGTGCAGTGACGAGAGCCGGGGCAGCCTGCCTACCTCGGATCTTGCTGGCCAGGTGCTCCTTGGAGGTGATGATCTGGTCCATGTCGGTGCGGATGACCGCCTCCATGGCTGGCCGGGCCACCTGCAGCTTGGACAGCATCCTGTCGAAGCTCTCCTTGGCCTGCTCATACACCATGCGGTACACGGCGTCGGAGATCTGCGGGCAGAGCCGTGGTGTCAGTGCCAGGCTGCGGGTCCCCCGCAGCTGCGGCCCCCAGGCCCTACTCCCCAGCACAGGTCTGCCCACCTGGATCCACTGCCGCTGCCGCTCCTGCGGTTTCCCCTTCAGCCGCGGGGCAAGCTCCGCCTTCAGCTCAGGGCCCAGCTCCTCCATCACCAGGTTGCACAGGATCTAGGCACAAGCCAGTGCAGGGAGCATGTCCAGCTGCCACGTCCCTCTCTGCATTCCAAATGCCCCCCTCCACACTGTCCCCACAGGTCCCAGCTGATCTGCTTGGTGACCTTTAGGATCCTCAGCCTCAAGAGTCCCACCTCAGGGCCTTTGCACATGCTGCCTCCCTGTCTAGAACACCACGCCACTGCCTTCTTGCACAAGCAAGTGTGTGTCTATTTCTCACACATCTGTTTCTGCTCCCTGAGTCCAGGGCTGCCTGCCTCTTGCTCAGCGCAGCAGCCCAGCACCTGGTCAGTAAGTGACTGAACAAAATAGCAAATGTCTCCACCTACGTGACCCGCCCAGCCTCCACCTGTCCATATCTGAGCTGCTTATCCCCTTCCAAACTTGTAGCGCCCAGAGCCCCATCCCTTGGCCCAGCCCCTTCCCGGGTGACTTCCGGTCCCCCTGCTGGCCCTTGAGCCTCACCTGCACCTCGTTCCCACACAGCATCTCCCAGGTGCCGTACAGCTCCTTGGACTGGCGGTACATGCGCACGGCATCCGTGAAAGCGGGGCCCTCCACCTTGGAGTCCTCGGGAATCCCTGCCAGAGAGGGAGGGTGCAAGGAGGTCAGCAGGGAGGCCCAGGGGCCTCCTCGAAGACCAACTGCCCAACACCCCCTCCCACGTGTGCACCCCCCCCCCGCCTACACCCCTCCCCCACGTCATTGTGGCAGACACAGCTCTGGTGACAGGAGAGATGATCACCCATGGAAGAAACTTGGGGTCCTCAGCCTCCTTTCACTTCTGCCAACCTTTACCTGCCCACAGGTAAGCTGGGCCTTGCACCTGTAATCTGTACTCGCCGACACCAGGCAGAGAAGCCAGCAGGGCATGCGCACGTGCAAATGAGGGATAAAAGGGGAGCGTCTAGGGCTGGAGTTCATTTGCTGCCTCCCTGCCTGCTGGTCAGCCTCGGCCCAGGCCCGAGTCAGCGTTCAAGGCATGTTAGAGACACTGAAGGCTCCAAATTCTCTTCTCTTCTGCCCAAATCAACGAGCCTGCCTGGTCTGAGAAGCTCGCACAAGCCAGTGCGGTGGCAGCAAGGCGGGCCTCGCGTGGGCCTGCAGGCCGGCGCCGGGGTGGGCAGGGGAGAAGCTGCAGAAGCTGTGAAACCCAACTTGTGGAAGAGGGTGGTTAAACACCAGAGCCAGGCGGCGGCCTCCGACCGCATCTCCAGAGCCAAGAGAAGGGGAACCGGGAACCAGCCGCCAGCGCCTCAGAAACCCTGGCTCCCGCTGTGATGACGACCGGCTGAGTCACCCCCACAGAGAAAAAGCCCCGCTCCGGTGGGGAAGAACCCTGCCCGCCCACATCCACCCGACCGCAGGAACCGCTGCCAGAGCTGGCAGGAGCGCAGCGATGGGGAAACTGAGGCCCAGAACCCACCCCTGCAGCCGCAGCTGCCTGGAGTGGGATGGGGGCCTGCGGGGAGTGTCACCCTGAGTTTCAGGGACCTGAGACCAGGCAGAGGAGCCCGAGCAAAGCAGGGGTGTTCCAGCTGGGACACCAGGCAGCTCCCAGCAGGGAGGGTGGGGGGCTGCCCACCAACCCCAGGGGAGGAACCTCTCCCCAGCGGGCACTGACATCCTGCGGACAGGTGAGGCCGAGGCCTGCGGCAGGAAGGCGAGTGTGGGGGAGGGGTGGTTTGTTTTCTCTTTTTGAGTCTGCACACCAAGCTGCGATTTCACAAAAGTGGGGCTCATCCCACCTGAGCTGCCCCCATGCACCCAGCTGTCCGGGCTGAACTGTGTCTCCCCAGATGCATTTGTTGAAGCCCTAACTCCCGGTTCCTTAAGATGTGACTATTTGGACTCAGGCACTTAAGGAGAAGATTGAGTTAAAATGACTGATTTCCTTACAAGAAGGGGAAATTTGGACCCAGAAAATGTGAGCGTAGAGAGAGGACCACGTGAAGACATGGAAAGGGGGAAAGGCCTAGGGTTGAGTCTCCTGGCTCCATCCTGCTTCCTTCCTTAGTCTCTTCTCCAGCTTCTCCTCTTCCTGCTCAGCTCCACCCTCCCTTGGGTGGGGCAGGGAACCTCCCCCTTTCCTGGGGACCACCCTGTTGCAGCGCTACCATGGCGAAGGCCTGAGTTCGATCCAGCCAGGGAGCTGCCCACATGGCGCAGCAGACCTCCCCTGTCTCCCTGCTGCTCCCCTCAGCAGTGGATTTCCATAAAATTTGCTTGCTTGGCTCCCCACTCTGTCTCTGCTGACTCCTCTCACCCACCCCCACCTCTGGCTACTCCTCAGTTCTAAGCAAAAAAAGAAAAAAAGAAAACATGGAAAGGCAGCCATCTGCAGGTCAAGGAGAGAACTCAGAGGAAAACCAATCTGCTCACACCTTGATCTTGGACATGCAGCCTCCAGAATCAGGAGACACTAACCCCCCAGTTTGGGTCCTGACTAAGACACCAGCCCTGGGCTGAGATCTCCCACTTTCCTCCCGGGTCAGGCTAAGAAAGGAAACTGCATTCCTCAGTCCTGGTGGCAGGCAGAGGGGGACTAGTCCGACAGGAAAAGGCCTTGCCCTCTGTACCCCAGGCCCGGGGTGCCCTTGGTCCCCTCTGCTACCCCCAGCTGCTCCAGGAATGCCGGATGTGAAGGGGGCCCTGCACCAGCTGGTGTCCACCCAGTGTGGCCTCCCCCACTTCCTGGCAGCCCCTGGAGTGAGCAATTCCAAGCTCCACACATTCCAGGCCAGCCTCTGAGCTAGAGGAAGGGAGAACTTTCCCACAGTGCTCAGGGTGGAGGAAAGGCACATCTAAAACCAGCCTGGAAGGCCTGGAACCTTCCTGTCACAGGATGCACCCCCTCCGCCCCCAGCAGCTCTCCCAGGCCTCCCCTCTTGCCCAAAACACCCACAGCTGAGGGACTCCCCTCCCCTCCTGAGCGCTGCTATGTGCCAGGCGCAGGCCAGAGCCCCGCCCCAACCAGCTCACTCACTTTCCCAGGAATCCCACAGAGCTCAGATACCAACACGGCCAAAGTGCCAAAGTGCGCAGGGCTCCCGCCCTCCCCCATACCCCACCTGGCCTGAGGTCACCTGCCAGGTCAGCCTGGAAAGGGTGAACTAGGCCTGGGTGGGGGGAGGGAGGAAGAAGGGGCAGGGAGGATGCCACAGGTCAGGCAGCCAGAGCCCAGATGGCCTCCACCCAGTCCCGGCCTGGCAGCCCCCAGGGACCTGGTAACAGGAGGCCCTTTGTGGGCGGCAGGGCCCGGCCCAGGTGGCAGGACTTGGCCTGACTAAAGACCTGGTCCCTCCCTCCTGGCAGATTCCATGCAGGCAGAGATGCCTCCGGGGAGTCAAGGGGAAGGGTGGGGCGAGCCGAGTCCCCGCAAGTGGTCAGCTTCCAGGTGTCGGTGCCCACACCAGCCATCCTGCCACGTGGAGTTGTGCCCAAGGCCTGCCAGCCTTGGCAGGGACGGCAGGGCAGCTGCCCCCTCGGCCTCCTGAGACCAGGTCACAGGGAAGGAAGTTCAGGGTCCAGGACCAGGTTGTTCCTTCCCCAAGGGCACAAAGCCCCTTAACGCCCAGCCCGACCCCCACCCACCCCGAAGAATCAGCAGCCTCTTGATCTCATGCTCTAGAGCCCACATACCGCCTCCTGGCCTGCCCCAGCCCCTCCAGCCCCAGGCCAGGGTCCCCTCCCCACTTCAGGGCTTCTCAGTTGCTCTTCCAAACTGCTGGGTCTCGGCCTCCCTCCATGCCAGCTGCCAACCCTTTCTGAGCCCTCCTCTCTCTAGGACTCTTCATCCCTCAGGTCGCAGTGGCATCCATGGGATCAGCACCCTCCCCAGTACAGACCCAGCCCAAGCCCCCGGGTGATTCCTGTCCAGCACCCAGCCCAGCTGTGACTCATCACACCCTAGTCCTCATCTGTTTAACATCTGTCTCCACCAGACTGCCGGCAGCACAAAGGCAGAGACAATGCCTTGCTGTCTTGAAGCATCGTCAGCACTCAGATATTAAACATGTTTGTTGAATGAATAAGTGAGCTGGAAGAGATACCATAAACTTGCATATACGGCCAGTGAGAGCCTGAGGAATTTCCAGACGACTCTATAGGTCAGCTGTAAGGATGAAGCTATGTAACAACAGATCTTTACCCGGCATTGCGTGTCACAAAACCCTTAAGACACAGGAGGGGTTATCCCCATTTAACAGAGGCTCCGAAAGCTCTGATTCCTGAGGTCATGTTGCTAGAAAGTGGCAGAACCAGGAATGTGGTTCTGTGACCCAGGGTCCAAAGGCTCAGCAACAATATCCCTCTGAGAACAATTTTCTGATTTTTTCCTGTGCAACACAGAACCGTTTTCATCAAGGAAGAAGGCTAAGGGTAGCATTACAATGGTCTCTCGCAACGGCAGAAATGGGAACAGCACACAGAGCAGGGTTGCCGCACCGAACTCGGCCACTGGGTGTCAGCGTCCAGCTCCTGCTCCAGGCCACGCGGCCACCAGGGCTGCTCACCGTTATTGCAGTGCCGGATGCAGTCCTGCAGCACAGCCTGCCACTTGTCCTGCTCCGCTTCTGTCATCATGCAGAAGTAGTAGTGGCGCGCAGAAGGATGCCAGAGGATGAGTGGGAACTGGGTGGGGCACTTGAGGATGGGCGTGGTGCTCGATTTGGACGTGATCCCTGCAGAGACAGAGCCCGCTGACTTGCTGCCCTCTGTGCTCGCCGGCGGCCAGAGGTCAACAGGCAGCTGGTTCCGTGGCTGCTCTGAGGGGCAGGGCAGGCCCAGAGACGGCTGGCCTGTCCTGGGGGGCCGGTGGGTCCACAGAGAGCTGCCTCCCCTTTGCTGCTCTGTCCTCCACAGCCTGGCTAAGGAAACTGGGGACCCCCGGCATCCATTTAGACCCATTTCTTAGAACTAATGAGTTGGTATCCACACCCCTCCGGGTCAAGTTCTAAGCTCCAGAGCGAGTGAGTGAGTGAGACGCAAGGGACGCAGGGGCCAGGCTCAGGTCAGAGACCTGGCATTTCCTTCTTGGGCTTCCCTCCAAGTTCCAGCTGTGGAGGCCAAAGTGTGGTTTAAACATCCAGGTGGGGGAGGAGGGAGGTATGGGGGGGCCGAGGCGCACAAACTAACCAAAGGGATTTTTCTCTTGCTCTGTTTTGCCCACATGGATATTTGAGATCCAGCGAGATAAGTGGTCCCGGGCGGTGACCTTGCCACGGCTGTGAATGTGACAATGACAGTCCTGCTCTGCGCCCTGGCTCTGTGGGGTGCAGGCAGCCACTCGAGGAGCCACACAACACCCCAAGGTCAGTCCTCTTAGTGCCCTGCTTCATAATCCTAAAGAGCTGGGTGGAGGATGTGGGCTCCAGTGAGCCTTCCACCTCGGGTCCCCTTGGGGGAACCCCGCTGTGCCCCTGCAGGGTTCTGGGAGTCTCTGGAAGGGCAGAGGAAAACAGATGCCCAAAATAACTCTTCCCCCGTGCGATATTCACTCAACGGTGTAAAGTGGGTCACTGCGATTTCTCTTAGGTCTTGAGGACCCAGGGCGGTGGGAAGGGCAGAGAGAGTCCATTGCAGGCTGGTATTCAGAGGGCTCAGGAAGCAGGTGGGGGACTTAGGTGGGGTCCACGCTGGCCCAGCCCCCACCATGCCAGGCGGCCTGGGTGGGGCAAACCCCTCTCAGACCTTCCTAGGGGGCTGCTTGGAGTCAGTTCAGGTCCAGCCGGTCTCTCTGCAAACGTGTCGCCTGAGCTCTGGGATCAGGGCGCTCTCTCCCCTGGCCAAATCCCCCGGCCCACGCAGGGCACCTCAGCCTGGGATGGGTGATCTTTTACCTGGTAAGGAGTTGCCAACGAGCTCCAGGTATTGGTCCACGGAGGTGAGGATTTTGTAGCCTGCAGTGTTGATGACAGCACGAGGGGGCACCTGCCGCTCATAGGCCTGAGGGGAGGGCAAGAGAGACGGTCCCTGGGGGTAAAAGGTAGGCCAAGCCCAGATCCTGCCCCCAACCTGGCTCCAGGGCCCTGCTCCGTGATGCCTGCCCCAGGTGGGGAGGACAGAAGGGGAGGAGGGAGATGAGAAAGGACTTTGAGCGTCAGAGTGACCTGGACCCAGGCTCCAGGCTCAGTTCCTGCGCCATTGGGTACTGGTGAGAATGAGGTTCCTGGCCTCCTAGGCTTCAGCTTCCTCATCTAAAAAACCAGGGTGATAGGACCTCCCCTGGTGGCGCAGTGGTTGAGCACTGGGCTGCAAAACTGCCCCCAGCCTCTGCAGCGCCGGTTTAATCCCCAGCCGCCAGCGAGGGTCCCACATGGCGCACAGACCTCTCCTGTCTCGCCCGCTGCTCCCCTCAGCAGTGTATTTCGTCAGTCTGCCTGTTCTGTTCCCCACTATTTCTGGTGAATCCTCTCACCCTCCCGCGAATCTGACTGTACCCAGTGCTTGTGTAAATTAATTAATTTTTAAAAATCTTAAAAAAAAAAAAAAACCCAGGGTGATGACAGCTCTACTCACAGCCTGTGCGAGGACTGAGAGAGTCACATAAAGTGACTAGCACAGTGCCCAGCACAGTAAGCACCGCCGAGGCTTTGAATACCACTGTTATTGCCTCTGTTATCTGCAATTACCCTAGTACTGTGTTTATTACACACCAGGCTCTGTTCAAAGGGCGCTGCACGTTTCCTTCCATCAAATTCTCACAATCCATTGCCAATCACAAGGTCATAATGCTGGGACGGAGCCAACCTAGGGCATGAACTTGGCCTTTCTTTTTTTTTTTTTTTAAAGATTTATTTTATTTATGCACACAAGAACTGGGGTGTAGGCCAGAGGTGTGGGGGCTGAGAGGGTTCACCAGAGACAGAGTGGGGAACAGAACAGGCAGACTGACTGAAATACACTGCTGAGGGGAGCAGCGGGGAGACAGGAGAGGTCTGCTGCGCCATGTGGGTTAGTTCCCTGGCCGGGGATTGAACTCCTGCTGCAGTGGCTGCCGATAGCTTCATAGTGCTGAGACTTAACCCCTTGCACCACCAGGGAGGCCCTAAACCTGGCCTTTCAGCCTCCTGAACCCAGGGTCTTTGATCATTAACTGGAGCTGCCCAGCAGCCTCTTAGCTGAGGAGCACCACACAGCCGCCTTTGGAGGGGAGCTGGGTCTGGCCATTGCTTGCTGGGAAACGCGGCTGTAGTGGTTCATACAGCAGGGCTGCCATGCCGCGCCTTGCCACCAGGTGTCACTCGCCACCAGTTTCTTCAGAGTGGCTCAGCACCTCCAAGGCCGTGATTGGCAAAGGTGGTCCCTGATCACCATCCTCATCCTCACTGTGAATTGTTGGATGGAAACTGCAAACCCCCGACCCAAACCGGGGTTAGGCCCAGCCACCTGTTTTTAGCAAGTCCTCCAGGCAATTCTGACACAAGCTATTTTGAGAACCGCTGCCCTGGAGCGTCAGGTTGCTCCCGGTTTCGTTTCTCCAACATTAATTTGCCTTGAAACAGAGGCTCTCGGGCCTGTTTGGGCTGCTCTGGAGGATGCTGGGCACTGACCCTGGGTCTGTGGTTCCACCAAGCACAGCTTCCCCAAAGGCCCAAAGCAAAGATTAAGGAACAAGTCACCCCCTGCGGGCAGGGAGGTACAGTGGGGGAGTCGGAGGAAAAGGGCGGCCCTGCTCCCCAGGGGCAAGCTGGGGCTCCAGGAGCAGTGGGAAACCCAGCTGCAGTGGACGGGCTGGGGCCAGGGCCTTGGACATGGAGGGCTCAGGCAGGGGGCACGGGAGCTAGTGACCAACTAGGTGGTTTTGAAGCGATGGGCAAAGTGCAAGGTGACCCCGGAAGAGCTGGTGCCCGGCGGGTGAAGTGCCATCTAGAGAGGATACGAGGTTTGGGACGGTTGGGGAGATTCTGGTTCGGCCTAGGGAGATGCCGTGTTGGGGCTGAGGGTGGGGTCTGGAGTCTGGGGTTCAGGAGTGGGGGGCACCGGTGGGAACTAGCACAGAAGCAGGGGGCTGTGGAGAGGGTCGGGGGCCCGGGAGGAGGGGGGCCTCACCACTTTGTTCTCGTACAGCACCAGCCCGTAGTTGTGGGGCACGAGGCTGAAGCGGTTCCTCCACTTCTTGTTGTCCTCCTGGTACTGGAAGAGGTTCCCCGAGAAGATGATGCGTTCCTCCAGCGGCACCTGCGGGGGGGCCGGGCGGGGTGAGGGGTGGCCCTTGCTGCCCTGTCGGCGACAGCCCGGCCTGAGCGCCCCTGGAACACATGCTCCGGCCCCATGTCCTGAGTCCTCCTGAGGGCCTTCCAGGCAGTGCCACACCCATCTGGCATCGAGGAAAGGGAGGCTCTGGGCAGTGAAGGGCCTTCCCCGGGCTCCAGGGCTGGGGGGATGGCGGTGATGTCAGGGCTTGAGCCCAGGCAGGTACCACGATTCAGGGCCAGCAGGTGAGAGCCTTCCTCTCCAGCCGGCTCCAGGCTGGCCTGACCTGGGGGTAGGAGGGGGCAGCCATCCCCAGGGCGCTTCCTGAGTGGACAAGCATCGGGAAGCCTCAGGAAGGGACACTCAAGAGGTTGCAAGGGAACAGGCCTGCTCCATCTGCAAGGAGTCGGGGAGTCTAGTGTTCGGCTTCTAGAAGGTTCCATCTGTTCTATGATAAATGCGGTGTCTTTTGCGAAAGGAAACGCGTATCAAATGTGGTGAGAGCAGAAAGGATCATTCCAGGGGGCCAGGCCCTTCTGGCGGCCCTGCTGTGCTCTGGGTCTGCCTCTGCAGCTAGGGTCCGTGCGAGGGGCCCCTCCTAAGCTGCCCCCCAGGTCCTTCCGAGGGAGCCCCTTTCCCAGCAACCCCCTGCTACTCTTCAGGGGAAATGCCAAACACTCTTGGAAAAAGAGGGCCCATTGTACTGAAACAATAGGACCCGCAGACTGCTTCCGACCAGGGACAAAAATATTTACAGGAAAAGAAAATGGCTCCCCCAGCCCCCCCAGAGGGCAAAGCTGCTGCCCCTGGTGGTCTATATTTAGAGTGGAGCCTACTCTCAATCCAGCTCCCAAATCCCCGTCTTTTCCAGAAAGGAGCAGACGGAGCTCTTGACACCCTGGGCAGCCCCTCGTTTGCTGCCTCCACCCCGTGTGGGACAGGACCCCCACTCAGGACCCCCAGGCCAGTCTTCACAGCACCGGCCCCCGCACCCCCAGAGCCTGGGCAGCGTAGCGGGTGGTTGGCTGCGAGTCAGGTTTTATTTTTAAGACAAACCGCGTCGTGATTCCCTCTGAAAGGCCCTCGGGAAATGAAAGGGAACCCGCCAGCCCAGCCGGCAGAGTTTGCAGCCCGAAAGCCCTGGGACCGGCGCTGGGAAACTCTGGGGGTGGTGAGGGGTTGGGGGCAGAGGCCCAGTTCCCACAGTCAAGCCTTCTTTGCGGCCTCTTCTCCTGCACCCCAGGAGGGAGCCTGGACGCGAGGGAGTGCACCCTCGCAGCCTCCCTCCCAGCGTCTGGGGGTGATGCGGCCAGAATGGAGGGGGGGGCCCCCCCGGGCCCTGCCGGCACCTGGAGCTGCTTGTTAAATGCTCAGCCGTCAGCGCGGTGAGGACGACGCTGATCTCCCACCACAGGGCGGCATCCTCGCGCCTTAATATCAGACTCTGTTTCCTGGGTAGTACATCGGGCCAGGGCTCCCCGCTTTTCAGGGATGCGGGGTGATCTGACTCTCACACGCGACTTCACCCTGCGAGCACGACGGTGGCTCACGCTGGAGGAAGGCCCAGGTCCCCCACCAGCCTCCGTCTCGGGCCGTCCCGGCAGCTGCTGGTGACACGTCTTGCTAGAGAGGGACGCGGCCTCAGCTCTGCCCCCCGATGCCGCGAGCCGGGGCGGCCCCAGCTCCTGTCCAACCTCACGCGCGCCTGCCGAGCCCGGCCCCGTCTCCGGGCACCGCCGCCCCTGTCGTCGCGGGGTCAGGGTTAGGGCTGGGCTAGGGGTCCCCAATCAAAGGGGTGTGTGGTCTTGGGGAGACTCAGACACACACCTGACTCCCCTGCACCCCACGCAGGATCGGGGGGAGGTGGGAAGAGCCCTGAGCGGGGCACCTGGCTGGAGAGCTGGTGCCACCGGCCCTGCCACGTCCTGCACGGGCTCAGCCCCCCCGGGCTGCTGGCCCCTCTCCCACCAGGTCCCTGTGGGTCCCTGCCTGCCTTCACCCTGCCGGGGCCTTCACAGCGCCCCCTGTATGGTGTGAATGATTCCCCAGCAGCTCCCAGGCCCCAGGAGCCTGACAGTCCGCGTGACCCCGACGACGGGCCTGCCTCCCTCTCGGGCGCACGGGTGGGAAAGATTCCTCTCCAGTAAGACTGGGGGGCCCCACCCAGCCGGCAAGCAGCTCCCCCAGCCCCGGCCCACTCCCGCCGCTGAGAAGATGCCAGAGGGTGACAAACCAGCTCTGGGGGTGTCACTCCAACCCCCGCCCTTGGTCTCCTGGCCACCCCCACACTTTCAGTCACTTGATTTGGGGTGAGGGTGGGGAGACCTTGGAAGCACCCCAGCCCTCCCAGCCTGTGGTTTCTCAGGCTCTTCTCTGGTGCCGCCGCCTCCCCTGGGTCTGCTATGCCCACACCACCCCTTCCCAGAGTCCTGCCAGGACCTGATCCCCGTCCGGCCTTCGGGAGCCCAGGGCGCCCCCACCCTGCTTTCTTGGCCCGGGGTAACTCCTCTCTCTGGAGGCCACTTCACAGAGAAACAGGCTCAGTGAGGAAAACCCGCATGCCAGAGGTCACCCCGCAAGTCGGGGTTCACATCCTCCCCGACCCAGGCCCCTGGCCCGTGCCTGAGGCCTCACCACGCCCTGCCCGGGAGGCCCCACTAGTCAGCTGAGGAGACTGAGGCCGGACGTCTGCATCAGCTGCTCCGGCCGCCGGCTGAATGGAGGGTCAGCCAGAACTTCCCGCCTCTGCCCCGCTGCCGCAGCGCCCCACATGCTGGCGAGGGGGCCTGGAGAGAGCCAGCAGCCGGCGGGCAGTGAGGGGCGGGCAGCACGGAGCTGGCCTGAGCGCCGGCCCGGGGCCCGACCAACCTGGTCCAGACCCACTTCCCAAGAGCTCGGCCTGAGGGGTTCCCCAGAGGGGAGCTGGGCGGCTGCGCTGGGGCTCCAGTCAGGAGAAAGTAGCTCCAGGCTGCCGCTCGGCCCTCCAGGGCCCGCTCCCTTCCTCAACCCCCTCCCCTCTGCCACCCCATCCAGGCGGCAGGGGGTGACAGTCCCTGAAATGGAAAGACCAGCGCTGGGTCCACTGGGGCTCCCGCTGCACCCCCAGAGGGCGAGGACCGCCTCTCACACCCTGAGTGCCCAGGCCGAGGCCCTGCGCCTTCCACCTGGGCCCCTGACTTCCTCACCCCTCCCTGCCTCCCCACCGGGCCAAGCTCTCCTCCCGGGAGGCTTCCCTCTCCCCCTCTGGCCTGTGCTGACACCCCTTGCCCCCCACCCCGCTGCAGCCAGGCGGCTCAGCAAATATTTACAGGCAAACCCCATCCTGCCCCTGATAATGGGATGGCGACAGGTGGTGGTGCGGAGGTGTCAGCTGGCTCCCCAAGCACCCCGCTGGCTGCCCCCCACCCCCACATCCCCGAGGTGCGCAGGTCCCAAGTCCCAGGTGGGCCGGCTGGCGTCCCCAAAGCCCGCAGCCAGTGAGGCCTCCAGGGTGATCCAGAGCCCGTGGAGGGTCTGAGCTGGGGGAGGGAGCCCCCACCGTGGGCGCAGGCCCCAACATCACCCCCGGGTTGGCCTCCTGCTCAGGAGCTGGGGGGGGGGCGCCAGGCCAGCAAGGGGAAACTGAGGCTGAGAGAAGGGCCATTCCTCAGGCCGGGCCGCGTGGCGTGCGGGGCCCAGAGCCCACCCCGACCCCACCTTCGCTCTCACCTTGCGCCAGAGCAGCTGGGCCTGCGGCCCCCCGGTGCCCTCGATCTCGTGCCGCATGCTGTTGAAGAGGGCGACGCCATACTGGTCCTCATAGAAGCGGAGGAACTCCTTCAGGATCTTCCCGGTTCTCTCTGACAGGTCAGGACAAACGGGACGTGAGCGTGAGGCTGCCCACCTCAGCGAAGCCCCACTCCCCGCCTGCAGAGCTGCGCACCTGCTCCCCCCATAGCAGGCTCCTCCTGGGCGCACCTGGGGACCCCAGGCAGGACACGCAGGAGCACCCGGGGTGGGGCGGGGCAGGCCCCCGGGGCTGTGCCAGGGCTGGGAATCGGGGCCGCCTTTCTGGAGGGAGCTGGCAGCTGGCCCTTGGGGCACAGTGCTCTGTCTGCGGGGGCACCGGGGCCAGGTCAGGCCTGGCAGAGCCATGCCAAAGCCTGCCTGTCCTGCACCCGAACGAGTGCCCACGGGTGCCCACGTTCTGCTTGGAGCAGAACCCCAGACTGAGGCCGCGTGGGCTGGTGACTGGGAACCTGCGAGGCCGTAGGGGTGTTGGCCGTAGGGGGGTTGGCACGCGCCCCGCTGTGGCCCTCACGCCGCAAGCAGCTCACACGAGAGCCACAGACACAAAGGCCCGGAGGACACCCCCAGGTACCGTCCATGTGTGTGCGGGCCGGGACAACCCCCTTCCAGCTCACGGCACCAGGAGGATGGCGGGATGGACGGGTGCAGGCCCCCCCGGGGATGGTGCACCCCGCTATGCTAAACCCTAAAGAAAACCGGGTTCCAGACTCGCACGCTGAATCTCACCCCCCAGGGACTCCCGTGTGTGCGCACGAATGATGTGTGCGCGGAAACCACGCGGGAAAGGGCTGGCCCGGAGCACCCCCAGCCGGCCGGAGCACCCCAGAACACGAAGGGTGGGCCCTCTGGGCATAGTGCGTTTCATTTTCTGCATTATTCACGTTTAGAGCATTTGAATTATCTCACGAGCATGCGTCTCTTCACCGTAAAAAAATAAACATTCTAAAATTAACTCGCCCGCCAGGGTGAGGACGCTCAGCTCTCACCAGCTGTTTGCGCCTCTGCAAAGGCGGTTTCTGAGCAGAGGTGAGGGCTCGGCTCCCTCAGGCCAGCACAGCACAGACACCCGGCATCACACCAGTGACAGACGGAGAAACTGAGGCCCGGAGAGGGTCCTGACCCACGACGAGGGGCCGCTCCTCGGGAGAGACTTCCTGGCCCCAGGAAGCCCCGTTTGCTCTGGCCCGCAGCTGCTCCCTCTCTGGGCCTCAGTTTCCCCGCACGCTGAGAGGACGGAGCTCAGCGATGGACAGGCCCTGCCAGCTCTGACAGTCTTGGACTCCAGTTTCCAAAGCCCTGGACCGTTGTCAAAGGAGAAGGGGCAGATGGGGCGCTGTCCCCGCCCTCCCACTCCCCCCAAGGGTGGTCTCTGCACACGGAGGGCACCCAGCGCGCACAGCATTTCACTTAATTTTCTGATAGTTCCGTGAAGAAGGGCTGCACGATCCCCCTTTTACACCAGAGGAAAATGACAGCCAGAGAGGTTCAGTCATGGCACGAGGTCACACAGCAGCAGGCGGCGGAGCTGGGGCGCAGCCAGGAGGTGGCAGCCGGGAGAAGGGCTGAAGCCGTCAGCTGCAGGGCATGCTAGGCCCCCGCCGCCACTCCCTCCACGGCCCCGGGCGGTTCAGCCCCTGGGCCCCTCTGCGCAGACCCTGCCTGTGCTGCTCCCCTTCCCAGGAGTGAGGTCATGTCTGTCCAGATTCCTATTTGGGGGGAGTAAGGGGGAACAAATGAGGAATTTGCTTTGAATGCCTATTTAAAAAAAAAATCAACTATACACAACCAGAAATCTCTCAACGACCACGGGGATCCTTTTGGAAAATGAGGAGGCAGGACGGGGTGCGTCAGGAGAGATGGGGGGTGAGCTGGGGCCAGATAACGAAAACAGGGTGATAGAGGACACCATGGATGGCTCTGTGGCCACCATCGTAACCGCCTCCACGCACCGAGGGCCGGCCCCAGCCCGCGCCGGGCAAGTCTCCAATGCACGAGCCCAAAAAACCTTCGTGAAAACCCTCGGGACCCAGCACTGTGGTTTTCCCCATCTTAGGGAGGAGGCTCGTGGGCCCAGGGCTGGGGAGCCAGGTTCCCAGTCACCAGCCCACGCGGCCTCAGTCTGGGGTTCTGCTCCAAGCAGAACGTGGGCACCCATGGGCACTCGTTCGGGTGTAGGACGGGCAGGCTTCGGCATGGCTCTGCCAGGCCTGACCTGGCCCTGGTGCCCCGCTCAGACAGAGCACTGTGCCCCAAGGGCCAGAATCTGCTGCCCTGGCCCTCGGGAGCCAGGCCAGGAGGAAGCTGCCATCCTGTGCGAGCACTTGCACCTGGGCCTGCCTGCCCCGCAGCCTGCTCTCGGCCGCCCGGTCAGCGAAGTCCACACCCGGTGTCCAGGCAGGGAGCAGAGCATCCTCGGGAGTGGGCGCGGGGGAGGAGGAAGCCTGGGCGAGGCCCGAGGCCCGGCAGGAGAGGGCCCCTGGCACCGTCCCATCGGGGCTATGAGGCCAAAGTCTGGCTGAGCTGCGGGTCCAAGAGGAAGTTAGGGGAGGCTGAAGGCATGAGAACCCCGGCAAGGTGACCCAGTCGGAAGCAGAAGATGAGGAGGAGGCTGACGGGCCTGAATGAGGCATGAGGGCATAGGCTCGGGCGCAGGCGGGGGCCGGGATGAAAGCCGTTCTGGCCCTCTCACGTTGGGGTGCAGACCAGGGTCCAGGAGCCGAGGCACGAAGGACTGGGGGTGCAGTAACCCAGCGGAGGAGCAGGTGCTGGCAGGAACCTGGGGAGCACCTCACTGAATGGAGTAGGAAAAGACCAGGTAGCCCCATTTGCCTGGCACCCTGAAACTGGACTCCCGCACCCCAGTTGCAATTACAGGTGTGCCTTGCCACGCAGACTAAGGGCTGCAGAGACCTGGGCCCGTCTTTCGGCAAACGCTCTGCCGGCTAAAATTCCAGAACAGAACGAGTCAGGCAGCGTGGGGTCTCCCTCTGGCCGGCCTCGCTCTCCCAGCTCGGGGGCCACCGGTTGGGAGGGGAGGGATGCTGGCATCTGGGCTGGCTGCAGCCCCAAGTGGGCAGCCGCCTCGCTTTGCTCACCACGTGGCGCGGCTCCTGAGCGCCCGCTCTGCAGAGGCCCCCAGGACAGGGACGCTCCAGCCCGGGCGTGGGGGTGGCACCTCCAGGGGTTCGGAATTAAGAGGAGGGTCCCGGGCAGCACCCAGAACTGGTTATGCTCAGCCTAATCTTGGCAGCAGAGGCAGAGCTGGCAGGGGGAACAGGCCACGGATGGCCTCTTGGCAGAGGTCGGCCCGAGCACATTCTTGAGTGATGTCCTAAGACAGCCTGGGAGGGCCGCCACGTGCTTGGCACGCAGGAAGCGGCACTGGCGGGCAGAGGGTGGGGAACGGAAAGGAGCCTAGGTGTGGGGGCTCCGGAGAGGCGGGCAGGGAGGGGGTCCCCAAAGGGCTCACGGGGAGAAGCCCTGCTCAGGGAGACCCGGCGGCCTCTGGCCGATCGCGTCTGGAGCACCCAGGCAGGCCCTCAGGCTGGCAAAGGCTGGACCGGGCCTCCATGGCCCCCCCCTAGACCTCCTCATGCTCAGCCCCCTCGCCTCGGCCCCCCACAGCCCCCTCCCTGCAGGCACTGCTCAGCACCCCTTGCCCTTCTTGCCACCCGGCCGAGGCTATCTCCCCGCAGCTGCCAGAGATTTTCCAACTGAAATTCCTGTGCCCCCCCAACCTGGTGTCTGTGGGTGGTCCTGGGGCTCTCTAGTCTGCACCTGCCCCCCAGCTCCTCCTGCCTCCTCACCCGCCTCTGAGACATCACACCACCAAGGGACTGTGAGCCACAGAGTATGAGGGTTCTCCTGGGGTCCCACAGCCGGTGGGGGGACGTCAGTCTGACCCCTGCTGACCCTGGCTCTGCCCCTGGGCCTCCCTCCCTCCAGAGGGTGGGGAAGTGGGGGTGCGGCCCCAGGGGCTCGAACATGGGCTGAACATGGGCTGCCGGGCCTGGGGGAGCTCCCACCCTCCAGCCCCAGGCGAGGCCGCAGGACACGGGCGCAGCCCCAGCCCGCAAGCTGCTCAGAGCTCGGCTCCTCCTCTGCCGAAAGGGCCCAACAGGAGCCGCGGCTGCGCTAGGCCAGGCAGCGGCAGGCGCGGGCTCAGGAGCCCCCGGCCACGGTGGCGCTCAGCTCGCGGCGACGCTTAGGAAAGTGGCGCTCCCGTGGGCAGCTGTAACGCCCATAGTTTGGGAAAAAAATCCAATAACAACTTAAAAAAAACCAAAGGAGCAGAGTAAGAATCACAGGATGACAGGCCGCTCGGGGAGGCCTCCCGCAGGCCTCCCGCAGCCCACGGCGAGGCCGAGGCCAGGGGAGGGGGTCGGAGGTGGGGCCGCAGCACCAGGGACGGCCCCGGCCTCCGCGGGCCTCCCTCGGGCACGTCTTGGCCTCGGAGGGTGCCCAGAGCCAGCCGCAGCCCTTGGCGCCCCTCCCGCAGGGTTGGGGGCTGGACCCTGCGCTCCGGGCAGACAGCCCCGAGGGAAGGCAGGTGAGGAAACCCTTTCCACACAAGCAAGGCGGGACCAGCAAGACCACAGGCTCTCGGGGTCACTTCCCTCATCAGCCAGCAAAACCTACTGAATACCTACATGGGGGTGTCGCAGGAAGGGGGGGTCCCCCCATTCCCCTCTTAGCCGGAGAGGGCCACCGAGAGTGCTGGGGGTGGAGCTGCGTGATCCAATCGTGACCCCAGGGACCCAGGTGGGGCCTCTGCCTCCAGGCAGTGAGGATGCTGGGCTCCCCGCGGTCCTGAGGAGGGCACCTCCCCACGAATGGGCACACACGCTTGCACATGAGTGTGCACACACACACGTGTGCACACAGTCCTGGGTTTGCCTTCGAGCCAAAGTAGGGGTCTTGTGTCTCTGTCTCTGGATCTTGGAGAGGTTCTGCCCCCTGACAGCTGGGGCCTCATCTCTACGGGCCGCCTCCTCGGGACTGACAGAGGTGACCCAGACGTCCCCCCGCCCTCCAGTCCTTCTAACTGCAC